ATGATACACCAAGAGGGTGAATCCAAGAGTCCCTAAAAACCTGCTCACATACCACAAAATCATAGTATGGCATGTCTAAACTAGCCTACAGTGTTATCCCCATCTAAAATGAGGGAACACAAAAGGTATAAATTATTGGCTTGCTAACATGCTATATTTCTTGAGGATTCCCTGCCCGGGAGGACTCCCCTGAGTGAGTGCCTGAGGGCCCTGCTCTTGCCACTTACCATCTGGCCTGGGGCTGGGCCTGAAGCCTCACAAGGACTGCTTGCTGCTTGCTGCCTGCTGCCCAGGAGGACTCCCCTGAGTGAGTGCCTGAGGGCCCTGCTCTTGCCACTTACCACCTGGCCCAGGGCGGGGCCTGACAGGCCTCACTAGGACAGTTGCTGTTACTGCCGGAGGGGCACAGAGTGTTTTTAAAATGTTTTTAAAAATTTCTTTTGGATTTTTTGTATGTGGGGAGTGGGGGTGGGATGGATGTTTGGTTGGGCTTGGGGAATTTTTTTTATTTTGATGTTTTTGTAATTTTTACAGTTTTTTGTTTGTATTGTTTTATTGGTTTTGTTTGTTTGTTTAAGGTGTTATTTTGTTCTTAAGGGGAGGGGTCAGGGCTGCCGGGGAGTGGGCACCAGCCCACAAAATGGCTGGGGCATGTTCCACGGGGGGGATGCACTGGGACAACCGATCTCAGTGATCACGGGTAGGAGGAGGAGTTACACTAAGACTAGACCATGTCATTACAGAGGGGGCAGGTTTAGTCGTTGTCTGAGGACTATTCCTGCCTCCGGGTCTGGTCCTGACCGGATGGATACTAGAATCAGCAAGGGATACCCACATGACCTGAAGGTGCTGCTGTGCAATGCCAGGTCAATGATTCATAAGACCACTGCCATCCATGACTTGATAATGGATGGAGGACTTGACCTGGCATGTGTAAGAGAGACTTGGTTGGATGAAGCAGATGGGCCTGTCCTTGCTGCTGCTTGTCCACCAGGTTTCTCTTACGCACAGTAACCCAGGCCTTGTGGGCGGTGAGGGGGGGTTGCAGTGATTTTTAGGAAGTCATTAGTTTGCACTAGGCGTCCTATTGGGAAGACCCAGTTTTCCGAGTGCATGTTCTGGAAGTTGGGCAATAGGGGCAGTACAGGATTCCTTTTGGTGTACTGACCTCCCCGCTGCACCAAGGATTCCCTGCCCGAGCTGCTTCAGGTCATGGCGGATGTTCTCCTGGAGACAACGAACTTGGTCGTCCTAGGGGATTTTAACATCCATGCCGACACGACCTTACAAGGGGCCGCTCGGGACTTCGTGGAAAGCATGGCCTCCATGGGGCTGTCCCTGAATAAGTCTGGCCCAACCCATAGCCGCGGACATGCCTTGGACCTGGTGTTTACCTCTATGGATGTTGGTGATCTGACACTAAGTAAAAGCGAAACGAAAGAAGTGCCATGGTCAGATCACTTCCTGGTGCAACTGGACTTCTCTGCGACCCATCCCCTCTGCAGGGAGGTGGGACCAATTCGGATGGTCCGCCCCCGCCACTTAATGGATCCAAATGGTTTCCAGAGAGTGGTAGGGGATGCTTTATCCCATGTTGATGGCCTTTCTGCTGATTCCCTGGTGGCCCGCTGGAATGTGGAGTTACCAGGGCTATTGACTGTTTGGCTCCGAAGTGCCCTCTCCGATTGCATGGAGCCCGGACAGCCCCGTGGTTTTCCACGGATTTGAGGGCAATGAAACAATCGTTGAGACGGCTAGAGCGCCGGTGGTGGATAACTCATTCCGCATCTGACCGGACACAGGTTAGAGCTCAACGTCAAGCCTACCAAGTGGCGATAGCGACGGCGAAGAAGAATTTCTTCACCGCCTCTATTGCATCTGCAGAAAACAGCAGCAGGAGACTTTTTCAGGTGGTTCACAATTTAGCGGAACCACCTGCAACATCGGGGCCCAGTACGGGCCACATGTTCTCCTGCAATGATTTTGCAAAGTTTTTTGCAGATAAAATCGCTCAGATTCGGGAAATAGACTCCACCGTGGGAGCAGGGCCGGGGCGGGAGAGTGCTAGAGTTTTGTCTAGTCAAGTTGAGTGGGATCAGTTCCAATCTGTTACCTCCGAGGATGTGGACAGGCTGCTTGGACGAGTGAAACCAACCACCTGTCTCCTGGATCCTTGCCCATCCTGGCTTATAAAAGCTAGCCGGGAAGGACTGGGCGATGGGCTTCGTGGGGTGGTGAATGCTTCCCTCCGTGAGGGAGCCTTCCCAGACCCGCTGAAAGAGGCGGTTATTAAACCGCTTCTTAAAAACCATCTTTAGATGCGGCCACGATGGCCAACTATCGCCCAGTCTCAAATCTTCCATTCTTGGGCAAGGTGATTGAGCGAGCGGTTGCTGAACAACTCCAGGCACGCCTGGAAGAAGCGGACCATTTGGATCCCTTCCAGTCGGGATTCAGGCCTCATCATGGGACTGAAACTGCCTTGGTCGCACTGGTTGATGATCTCCGGAGGGCTAGGGACAAAGGTGAGAGCTGTTTCCTAGTTCTGCTGGATCTCTCAGCGGCGTTTGATACCATCGACCATAACATCCTTCTGGACCGTCTTGAGGGGCTGGGAGCTGGGGGCACTGTCATACAGTGGTTCCGCTCCTTCCTCCTGGGCCGTGTTCAGAAAGTGGTGGGGGGGGGGATGAGTGTTCAGACCCCTGGGCTCTCACTTGTGGGGTGCCTCAGGGTTCTGTCCTCTCCCCCATGCTTTTCAATATTTACATGCAGCCGCTGGGAGAGATCATCAGGAGGTTTGGGCTGGGTGTTCATCAGTATGCGGATGATACCCAGCTCTACCTCTCTTTTAAATCAGAACCAGTGAAGGCGGTGAAGGTCCTGTGTGAGTGTCTGGAGGCGGTTGGAGGATGGATGGCGGCTAACAGATTGAGGTTGAATCCTGACAAGACAGAAGTACTGTTTCTGGGGGACAGGAGGCGGGCAAGTGTGGAGGATTCCCTGGTCCTGAATGGGGTAACTGTGCCCCTGAAGGACCAGGTGCGCAGCCTGGGAGTCATTTTGGACTCACAGCTGTCCATGGAGGCACAGGTCAAATCTGTGTCCAGGGCAGCTGTTTACCAGCTCCATCTGGTACGTAGGCTGAGACCCTATCTGCCTGCGGACTGTCTCGCCAGAGTGGTGCATGCTCTGGTTATCTCCCGCTTGGACTACTGCAATGCACTCTACGTGGGGCTACCTTTGAAGGTGACTCGGAAACTACAACTAATCCAGAATGCGGCAGCTAGACTGGTGACTGGGGGCGGCCGCCGAGACCATATAACACCGGTCTTGAAAGACCTACATTGGCTCCCAGTACGTTTCTGAGCACAATTCAAAGTGTTGGTGCTGACCTTTAAAGCCCTAAACGGCCTCGGTCCAGTATACCTGAAGGAGCGTCTCCACCTCCATCGTTCTGCCAGGACGCTGAGGTCCAGCGCCGAGGGCCTTCTGGCGGTTCCCTCATTGCGAGAAGCAAAGCTACAGGGAACCAGGCAGAGGGCCTTCTCGGTAGTGGCGCCCGCCCTGTGGAACGCCCTACCAGGAGATGTCAAAGCGATAAACAACTACCTGACATTCAGAAGACATCTTAAGGCAGCCCTGTTCAGGGAAGTTTTTAACGTGTGATATTTTACTGTATTTTTGGTTTCTATGGAAGCCGCCCAGAGTGGCTGGGGAGGCCCAGCCAGATGGGCGGGGTATAAATAAATTATTATTATTATTATTATTATTATTATTATTATTATTATTATTATCATTATTATTATTTCAAGCTATGAAACAAAACTGCAAGCTTCCCTTGGTTATATGCACGTCATTTTAGTCCCTCACCCAATAGTCATTTGTTGAGCATCTCCCACTGCACCTCCCTGTCTCCGAGGGGGAAATTACCCCCTTGCTCATAGCAGTGAAAACATTCTGTGCATTTCTGCTCCTCTATACCACAGTTCCAATGAAAACAACAAGCTGCACCCTCTCGCTGGCAGAAGCTTTGCACCTTGTACACAAAGGTTGTGTTCATACTAAATTCCAACAGTTTGCTTTAGTGCTGTATTTAGACCTGGAAATGTTCCTGGTCCAGGAGGAGTTGCATGTGTCCTGCTTTAAATGAACACCTAGAACTGGAAGATAAAGCATTACTTTTTCTCCCCAAAGTGCCGCTTCTCCCCCAAGCTACGAACTAGTATTCCATTTACTGCAGATATCCACATGCAGGGCTGAGAATCGAAGATAAAATATTGTCTTTTGACTCTACAGAAACCTGTTTTTCTACACAGCCTTTGATACACCTTTCACTAGAAAGAAATGAATAGAAACTGAGACAAATAGAACAGAGCAAAACTGGGTTGTTTATACAGACTGGCAAATGAAGTAGATTCAGATTCAACCTACTTAAAGAAACCAATGTTAAAATATATGCTCTGGTGGGGGTTTTTAACCACGCTTATGTATTTGATCCCACTTCTAAAAACATTGTAGTTTGGGAATCAGTGACTAAGAAGATCCTAAGCCTAAGAAGTTCCTCAGCCTATGTAGTGACCTTTGTAGCAGCGTGGAGACAGGGCAGCCTTGAAATCATTTAGCTATGAGGATATTTGACGGTTTCAACTTTTTAAAAATCTTTGTTTTGTCTTTATGGTTTTGGACGCAATTATTATTGTTGTTATCAATATTGATTCCCATAAGATCTAATGAACAGACACACTTACTTTTAACTACTATCTTAGAACAGAAAGGCATAGCAATAACATTGATATTAATATTATTCTGCAAATAAAAAGTGTTCAGGGGAAAATATAAGGTCAGCCCTTGTTCGGTAAAGAACTGCTTAGTGCATGTATAACTTTACCGCAGCTTCATCAACTGTTCTGTTAGAACATTTTATGCCCCATATGGTATTCATTTTTAAGCACAGGTCTCCAGCACTCCTACATATGTTCAATAAATAATTCTGCTTTATCATCACTTAAGTTTATTTCTACATCATGTTATGGCTTAAGCATTTACTGTACATACAAGATCTGAAGAGACTGACGTTCAATAAATTTATTCTTTTTATTCATTTCAGTGGCTTTTCATCATAGCAGCAATAAATAGGAATTTTATATCTTTTATAAAACACATTATTTAAGAGAGTCACTTTCACTAACATGAAACCATTGTTAACACAACTGGGAATTTAAAATTAACATAACTCTTAGATAATTTGAGTTTGGACATGGAGCTGAGGAAAGAAAATCTATCACTGGGTAGCTTCGCTATCATTTAGGACTGGGTAATCTGCAGGGCCTCCAACATGTCTTCTACAGCTTTCAGAGAGTACTTCGTCTCCTTCTTACTGCGACCAGCATACTAAGGGAAAAGAAAGATTAACACTTGTTTTACAAAACCAAGTAATGAAAAGTCACAATAAGGTACATCACCACCAAAATTGCCAAGACTGCATGAGGAATCTTCTACTGCAGAAATGTTCCATTAAAAACCAGTACCAAGATTTGACTGTAAAAATGCCCATTTTATGTCCCCTCTTGTGTGATGCCTACAGAATGCAAAAGGACTGGCAGATTGAACATCTAAGAACCTGCGAGGGGCTTGTAGGCATCTCTGCTTCCATAGTGTCCCTTGCATCTCCCACCAGGAGCCAGGAGCTGCCCAAGACTACAGAAACTGAAGCCACCACCTATGTGAAGAAACCCTACCCTACTTCCTTTGTCTCATGCAGCTTCTTAAATATAGTGGCAAGCCATCTCAGAAGATTTGGTTAAGAGGCAAGTATTAACCCTCGAAATAAATAAAAAAGGACACTGGGCAGGAAGCACACCAAACAAAAGGGCCCATCCCACATGTACCTTCCATTAGTGATGTGGAACCCAGAGGGCTGGAAGATCAATTATCTATACAGTAAGCCTGCAAATTATGCACGGTGAACTTGTGCACGTTCATTTGGCAAAATAAAAACAAAAACAATTTAAAAAGGGGTGAAAAGGAAGTAGAAGTCCAAGAAAAAAGACTCCAGCAGTCCCATCAACCATTGCACCTAATATGTTTTGACTATAAGTGATTTTGGCTTTAGACGTGATTCCTAGAACATAACCCTGCATAAATTGTGGGCTTATTGTATTCAGTGTGGCATCCAATGCAAGATATCATATACTTAACAACAATAACAACTTACTTTTATTTAGCCTCTCATTGAAACTCTATCAAGAGGCTGCATACACTTTTTTGACAACTTTATCCATTGTTGAACCACTTAGGAATCACTGTCACCTAAATAATACTTTTCAAAGCACCTTGTACACATTATCTTACTGTTATCCTCAAAAGTATCATCCCCATATTGCAGACTGGAGCTAAAGACCTTGTAAGTTCAAAGGAGAGATGAGATTCTAATCTCTAAGCAACCTGCTTAGCTACTACTCTAATCTACTATGTTAGTTTTGTGGGGTTGGGTCCTAACAACACTGAACAGAGTTCTTTCCATGCAAAAAGATTCCCACTATCTCTTACAAGCTTCAGCCTCCAGTGGTACCCCATAATTAGTTCTTAAAGATTAAAAGCCTTTGAAGAACAGGGTAGGCAGCTACCAAAAATTGTAGATTTCTCCCTTGCACAACAAAAATGTCTACAACTCACACTTGGACCCAGACTTTAGTGTTTATTTATATTTAACTGAAATCATAGACATGAACACTGATGTAGCTGAAGAAGAAATCCTAGTTTCAAACCTCACTTCTACCATGAACACACTAGGTGGCTGAAGACAGGGTTCTGTCTCTGAGTCTTAGCCTCATATCATGAGAAAGGATAATATTAGTACTGACATTACAGGATTGTTCCAAGAATTACTGAAATGATATATGTACAATGGTTCAGACACAATATATACATGCTAAGTATCATTATTCTCCTTTAAGCTCACTAGTTCTTTTCATATCCCGAGCAGACAAGGAGATTTAGTTTGAATTTATTAAACATCTCGGATAAAATGCATTGTAAATTTGACTGTTGGTTTCAGGAGAGGTGGCAATATTGGTTGGATTTGCAGGAATCTGACACACTCATATAAAGACATAACCAGATTAACAGCATGCTTTGTATTAGCCATAGCTAAATATCAACATTGTTTTTGACACTTATGAAACCAGCTGTAGACCTTGATCTGTGCAGTGACTCTTAAGTGGTTGCTAGTGTTTTATCAATACAAATGTTTTTACTTATACCTTTTGTTTTTTGTTTTTTTTACATCTATAACACTGAAATGTACATACTGTACAGATTTATTTTTCTTATGACTCAAGGTCAATAAAAATAAAATTACTACTACTATATTTGTATTTTATTGTGCAAGTATTTTATTATTCAATTGTTTTATTTCATACACGTCCATACCTCAACTTTCTTTCCATGTGGTGAACATATGTATGATACAAAAGACTGGATTCAGACTTCGTTATCTTAAATAACAGTGAAATCAATGGGAACTAACAGCAAAATCCTAACCATGTCTACTGAGAAGTCCTATTGAATTCAGTGAGACTTACTCCCATGTAAGTGGGGTGTAGACTGCAGCGTAAGACATTACTAACTTGTCCAACTGATATACATGGGAATGTAAGTTTCCCTAACTTAATCTGGATTCAACACAGAGCAAGTTAAGTGTTTGTTTTCTTTCTGATGTTGTTTAAACACATTTTAGAGCTGTCAACATTGTCTCCTGCTTAATATTCTATCTGACATCATGTCAACAACTGCACTGTGTAAAAGCCAATGGAACTATAATTAACAAGAAAAAGAAAATGGGATATGCTGACAGAATGTTTACCCAAAATGTTAAAGAAATGCTAAAGATGAAACAATTTTAATGTTAACCAAGTAACTCTTGTACCTACTTACTAGAAAAAAGGAAACAGCTACCAGATTTGAAACATCAACATTTAAACATTTAGTGTGACTCAGCTTTGATAACACTAATATTTCTCAGCACGACAAGATTTGGCTATGGTATTCAAAAGTTAATAAGCTTCTATTTAAATTACAGAAAAAAACACTTCTGAGTTTCATTTAGCAACATTTACTACAGCAATGTTGTCATTCCGTAACTCAATATGGAGAGTTGAACGGCAGGATAGTAAATCATATCGTTTTATTTGATTGTGATCTGTCATTATAATGCAAGGCTCTAAATGAAAAGAGAGAGATCTTGGCACACATGGTTGTTTTTACATGCAACCAACTAAATGTCCTACAGTTTGCTGTTTATTTATACAGGCAAACATATGGCTGTAGCAGTGATAAATGGGTGGGCTATTCCATCCAAATTTCAAGGGGCAAACCCCGGTGGGAAATATGCTGTGTGTTAACAGGGCATACGTACAAATGGCAACGTGCAATGACACTCCTGAATAGCTCTAATACTTTTCAAAGGATTTGCACAGGAGAACAGCCGAGTGGATTGTACCTACAATGAGCTAGCTCCAGCACTTTCTTCATCACTTGCAGAAGATTTACCAGCTAATGATACATTCTACTAAGAATTATTCAGGTGGATGTAAACAGGAATTGTGCTAAGATGTTCACGTTCCATTCACTTCAGACAGTTATTGTTCTTAAAAATTAACCTGTTAGTTAGTTAGTTAGTTATTTATATATTTATATATATATATATATATATATATATATATATATATATATATAGGCTTATGTCAAAGAAGTTCCTAACTGGTAATTTGGTTCAAACCATGTATTGCAACATATATACCATTCCTTTGTAGGTGTAATTTCTTTTCAAGGGCTTGCCACTATCGAATTTTTTTTCCATGGCCTATTCTCAAACTAACATTAACATCTAAACACCCAATAAATTTCCAGTTTAATGCTTTTTTTCTTTTCTTCAAGTACTATGGCTGTCCTGCATACAAGATTTCCTGATTTATGATGTGTTCCTTTTCTCTCATAATTAACACAATTTAGCAAATGTCTCATGACCCGATGACAAAATTTTGTGGTAAGACAGGTAATATTCCAGCTGGAACAAGACGGAAGAATTGTTAACCTGCCTTTGACCCGCTTGGACCATATTCAAAGATTAAGTAATCTTAACCCCAAATCTTAGAAGACTGAAGGTGAAAAATGGGGCCAGGTGTGTGTGTGTGGAGACAGCCCCAACCATATATTTACAGAGGTTTAACTGCTTAAGAAACTGATTATAGAAAAATTTCAAAGACCTTGTGCTTGATTTGAAAACTGCTAAAGGAATGGGGAGCTCAAAATAATTAGTACTATGCCTATTCCGTTTTAGGGACACTTAGGACAGCTCTGACATAAGACAGTAACAAGAGGAAAGGCCCTTGTTAACTTGAAAAATGGCTTCCTTTAATGACATTGGCATAGGCTTCAAGTTAGAACAAACAAAGCCCAATGGTGTCACAATCAATAAAAGCCTAGTTGGACATCTAAATCACTTCGAATTCTAGTTTATGACCAATTATTTTGTGTACTCCAGCATTAGGCACCAATTCAGCTGATGACAAAGCTTTTACTTCCCCGTCTCTCTGAAATCATGATTAAATTTTCTGTCCCAAATGGTTTGTAACAGAATCACCTCACCGCTAATAAACAACATGTGGATGCCTAACACTAGAGAATTTAGTCATGTGTCCAAAAGCATTTATCAGTGAAATTACTGAGTGGATCATATTAAGGGCTTAAACAAAAAACACTTAACGTTAATCAAACTTGCACCTCTCTGCTAAAATGCTTCCATTACAGACACAATAAACTAATTGAAGGAATAGGAACCTATATTTTGCTTTGATGTTAAGCGCACAGAACACAAGCGAAGATTCTTCAGTTTTTAGTGATTTAGATATATTGTAGTTTATGTCATTAGTTCACAATTAATTAGTGCAGTTATTTTAAGGGCCCCAAACAGTTAAGACAACTTTCCCCTTAAATTCTTTCCCCTTAAATTCCATAGTGGCCACACTACAACGTATATAAAACATCATCACCATCATCATTATTTGTTTTAAGGGCTGCATTCACCCTTATCCAACCCACTTGGAGCTGCATGCCCAAAGTACATGTGGCCCAAAGTGGGTGTGGTGATCCCAAACTCTTTCATTAACACACACACTGCCCCTCCTGAGCTGATCCACACAACTAGATCAACAGGGAGGTGGCAACCAGCATCCCCATTAGGGTACTGGGCTCTACTCACCTCTGCACTGTGTCTTGATTTTATTTTCCTTTTCCCTGCAGCTGCCAAAATGGATGGGGGGTTTTTTTGTGTGTGTGTTTTTTTTTTGAGGGAGGGGAGAGAATTGATTGGGAGATTGGACCAGGCCCCTGAACTGGGGACTAGCTACCTTTGCCATACAGAATACGAGTCTCCTTAAAAGAATCATTTGGCATGTTCATTTTTTTTTCATTTGTAAGATAGCAACCTTTAGCAGAATAGTACTTACTGAGAACAGATTCGCTCAATGTGAAGAAAGCCACCTACCAATTTTTCAGCCCTTTTGCTTCAGGCTCTTCAGTAGTTTCAGTGCAAATATAGAAACAGACCAGACCAAACCATACAATACGCACAGCTCAACCAGGATTTGGTCTTTATTCAGTAAAGATTCTTATAGTACATTTTGCCCGAGTAGGGTGTTAACTTGAGATTTTGGCCAACTTCTAATTTACGTAATTGTATCTCGCATACTGAAATTCCCCTTGCAGTTTTCAGCTAGATATGGTATTTGTCACTTTTCTGCTAAAATACAGCTGAAGTATGCAATACATCACAAACATATGAAGTCACAAAGAAGTTCTGACATTTGTTTTAAATACATTTTAGTTATGTAAAATGTGAACTGTTCTGGTAAGTATCAACTGAGAGAGGAGCCAATTTGCAATTATTTTGATCCAGCTCCAACATAACTATGGAATTGGACCATAAGTTTACAAAAAAGGAGAAATAAAATACAAGCAGTGTTTTCAAATTTACACTGTGATCTTCAGAGATAAATTATATATACCATCAATTTAACAGAATCAGATGAACAGTTCAAAACATCTCAAGACTGATTAAAGCTAAGCAATTAAATCCAACCAAATATCCCATAAATAATAGCTTCTTTTATCAAACTAATTTTTTTTAAATTAAACTAAGGTAAGTTACTGGCTTTACAGTCAAACTGCAATGGTGCAATATGGTAATGTTCCCAGAAATTAATTATATTTATAGTTGAGCAGACACTTAAATTTATGCACACATGGATGCACAAGGATTCCTTCAGACTATACACTCAAAGCTTAGACAACTTTTGCAATATATTCATATCCTCTAAAAAAGATGGAAAACAAAATAAAATTCCTTTTGTCCTAATGTTATGTTATTCTCTGAAATCTGCATGACCTCTTTATGACTTTATCACAAACCCCTGCCTCCCCATTCCACTTGCCTACCACATAGGCAAACAAGGTGAAAAGGTCTATTGTAAAGTGATGCATGAAGCATATCAGAGTTTTAACACAATACTCACCTGGTAAGCTCTATTTATTTGGTTTGCTGCCCAACCAGCGTACTTCATATTATCTTTTTTCATTTTTGCACTTGCCTTGGAATTGGAAGCAATATGGCTGGCAGACTAGAAAGAAGACAAAAAAAACAAATCAGCAACAGAATCTTGCAAAATAAACCTGAATACACATGGAACATGATAAAACAGTGCAACGGGAAAAATGTGAGTGTAGGTATTAAAACAAAACACATTAAAGCAAAAATACATTTTAAGTTAACGGTTTTTGATAACAAAAAAAGCAAGTAAGAAACTGGACATTGTGGTTCTGCTAGTCTCTCTTTTGTTCCAAGGTAGGCACGGCAGTGAATTTTTAATATCTCTGCAAACAGCAGTTCCCCATGCCACTTTGCAAACCACTTTTGAGAGGCAGGGCAATGTCTAAATCAGTTTGTATATTGCACAGGGATCTGCTGTTCAAAGACAAACTCAAATGTTCATGATGCATTCGCAAGCCCTGAGTTGCGTCTAAAGCAGCTCTCTGGATTCCAGCCATACCCTTAACAAGTCAGAAAACTTGGAAGCAAGACTTCTAAAACCGAAGGCCTGAATGTGCATGAATATCATGCTATTTAAGTTACAAGTTCTAAAACACAAAATGTAACAACTTCAAAAGAAGATTTGCTGTTAACATTAACAAAGCAGGAATGATCTCGTTTCCAGAAAATGCGAACATTTAGGACAGCGCATCCTTACTGCTAGTTCTATGGAAATTGTTATTTGATCTGGCAGCATTACAGAACCTCAAATCTTGTCAACAGGTAGTAAAAGCAAGCATCGCCACAGACCTTGAGAGGGAAAAGGTTTCATCTGCAGTTTCATAAGATAAGTCAATATTTGAGCCTCTATGCTGACAGCAATAAAAGAATGCTTTAATCGTTAAGTATCCCTATGCTTATAAATTCCATAGCACTGCTGTTTAAGTAACATTAGAATGAATTTGTAGCACTATTATAAAAAGCGTGTAAGCTGGAAATCAGCACTTCAAATACCGAGAATCCTTTACTTAGTGCCTTTTTTTAATAAGAAAGCTTTGTCACTACAGCAGCTGTATGCGCATCATCTGTTCTTTGCACAACAGAACAAGAACACAAATGGTGGTTCACCCCAGAGTGCATTTGGTGATAAACTTATTTCTTTAAGTTGAATGCAAAATAGAGGGCTCCCCGCCCCGCAAAAAAGGCTTGAGGTTTGTCCAATTATAGTCCTGCCTTTATCTCCCAAGAACTTATCGTCAAGAAGGGAACCTCAGTACTGTTGCTTCTCTGTGGTAATAAGTTCTCATGCCCAGTTCCCTAACAGGACATTCAGAAGGAGGAGGAAAAGGAAGGATCATATATCCTAGCTCCCAATCTTGACATGCAAGTAGAGCAGCAACCACATGAGAAGCTTGACCCATAACAAGTGAAAACAATGTGTGTGGCTCTTGCAATGTAAGAGTATGGATGGAAATGTACAGTACTTGGGCACAGAATGAAATAGATCTGTGCACTTATGACGTGATAGTTTAAGGACAGTTTTCTTGCACTGAAATTTTATGTGTATAGGAAGTCATCATGTACACTGGAGAATAAGTCTTAGCGTATCAGAACTCTTGAAGGTACCAAAATAAAGCCAGAAGAAAAAGGACAGAGGAGGAGGTGGAAGTTCTTTGGCGTGCACATAATCGGAACTTTTCATGCAGTAAAATGAGGCATGTTTACACTAAGAGTATAAAAAAATTCACAAGTCTTTCTCTCTAATGGATCCGTTTTAAGATCCTATTGAAAATTTGCAAGAAGCTATAGAACAATTTAATTAGTAGGAATTTTTAGCTACCTTAATGCTTCAGCTAAATACTTTTGTACTGTACTTGAAATAGAATTGCTAAATTAAATAACTGATTTAATACTTCGATGACACTAAGATGTGCTTGCCTATAATGACAGGAAGAGAAAAGTTGCTTTATTTGTTGGTGTTATATAAAGTTTGCTAAGGCTAGGAAGAAACAAGCCAAACCCGATATGCATCACACCTGACATCACACTTGAAACAAGGAGCATGGCATGTTTTTCTGTCTCAACTCCACTTGCATAACTTTAAATATCAAATTAATTTTTTGGGGGGGGGATTAAATGCCTTCATACTCACCATATAAAGTCCAAATAATGCTCTCATGTTTCTGTTGTTCAGCTTCAACGCCTGTGCAAAATATTTTCTTGAGAGCTCAAGGTTTTCAAGCCCTCCTTGGGTATATTTAACCTATTTCAAATGCAAGATTGATGAGCAAGTTTAATTTAACATTATGAAAAGTTGCTCCACTTATAATAAATCCCAGAAATGGAAACGTGAGCTTTTCCTCTGAGAGTGAAAGGAGTACCAGACTAATGCAGCGTGAGGAATGGAGTTAAAATGTGTAAGGGGTATTTGATGCTTAACTAAACTATTAAAAAAACGAACCAAGATGACAATTACAGTGGTACCTTGGTTTGCAATTGCTTTGGATTACAACTGTCAGGGGTTCAGGGAGAGAGGCACAGGGTAGGCAGGAGATGGAGAGCGATGGGGATGAATCCCAAGCCAGCGAGGAAGAGGATGACAATGACTCAAGAGATTCCATGAGTCTTTCCAGCGAATCAGAGGATTCCCAGAAGGGGGCGCCGGTGGTCAAGGCCAGGAGCCCCAGGGGGGACGTGTCAGGAGCAGGGGGCCAGCGGAGGATCCCAAAGTGGCAGCTGGGCGTCAGGACCAGCCTCCCCACCAGAGTGCAGCGAAGGGGGTGGAGTTTCCAGTGTATCAGGGGAAGCAGCTCCGGCAGCAGAGAAAGGAGGGAGGTCAGAGCAAGCCACCCTCCCGGAAGGGGAGGGGAGCAGGGAAGGGAGTAGATTAACTGTCAAAAGGAAAGATATAGGTTTGGTGCGCGCGCCGGGTTCCAATTGAGAGGCGCGCGGAAGTACATGGAGCCCGGAGGAGGGGCCAGGTCCCAAAGCCCGCAGGAGGTGGGTAGAGCAGTCTGATTCCGCGTCAGAGGAATCCAGGAGGGGCGAAACCCCAGCGGGCAGAAGGACCCTGCGGAAAAGGAAAGAGAGAAAGAGGTGGAGCAGCGCAAGCCTCTTAAATTGGTGCAGGGGAGGGACCGGATTCAGAGGGGACTTCAGCGGTCTAAGCGTAGCAGACGTAGGGCTGCGCGCCTAATATGTCAAGCAAACAATGAACTGCAATAAACACTTTTGTATATAAGAAGACATAGGCGTTGGTCTTTTGTGAGCTGAGACTTGAGGCAGCCCTGACAACAACTATTTTGGATTACAACCACATCAAAACCGGAAGTGCGTGTCCCTTTTTTTGGATTACAACCAATGGGGGGGGGGGCACATGGGCGAAAGCACGCCTTGGGTTACAACCTGTTTTGGTTTACAACCAGACCTCCAGAACAGATTATGGTTGTAAACCAAGGTACCACTGTATTGGAAAACAAAACGTCTCAGTACAACTGTCCGCTAACCAAATATGAGGATGCAAGCCAGCGGTACAAAAAAAGAATGCAGTAGAAGCCGTGGGAGACAACAAGTGGGCAGACTGCAGGGACAACATGCCTTGCCAACTGGCCACTGAGCAAAGACAACTGCTAGCTACCCAGACTGTCCTGAAATACTCACCTCTGCAAATTGCTGGCAATATAAGTGGTTGTGGGGGTTAGTCATCATGAGTTCCTCCAAGCAAAAGGCTGCCTTTGCATAACTGAAGAACAAAACCAGAAAATCACACCTTTATTCTTATTATTCTTCTTCTTCTTATTATTATTACTAGTACTATCACCACTAGTGCAGTTACAGGAGCACAGCAATACAGTGGTACCTCAGGTTAAGTACTTAATTCGTTCCAGAGGTCCATTCTTAACCTGAAACTGTTCTTAACCTGAAGCACCACTTTAGCTAATGGGGCCTCCTGCTGTCGCCGCGCCACCAGAGCACGATTTCTGTTCTCATCCTGAAGCAAAGTTCTTAACCCAAGGTACTATTTCTGGGTTAGCGGAGTCTGTAACCTGAAACGTCTGTAACCTGAAGCATCTGCAACCTGAGGTACCACTGTAGTGAAGTTTTTATACTGAAAGTTTTCTTCTTCATACAGAAGAGAAAGCAAAAGCACAGGTAGTGCAGTTTATGCTTTATACTCTTCTGATATTAATATGCAAAGAGGGACTCACTCACAAGCAAGACACACGGCTCCAGGGCCCATCTGAGGCTCATTATCCCACGATATATGAGCTTTACCAGTTCCACTCCACACACTACAGCAGAAGAGGAGAAAATACTCCTGAAACTTGTTCGCACTTCTACTCTCTCCACCTCCCCCCTGCTCTGCAACACTTGAACCTACTATGTGTGGGAGGGACATGACCATGCCTTCCAAGATATAGGGCCATGTGGAGAAACGTAAGTATAATAATACGTGAGTAAAATAATTTTATCATTTGTACCCAGGAAAGTGTCTGGGCGGAAATTGCTGAAATGTCCGGGAAAATCTGGATGCATGGCAATGCATGTCAGAATTGTAGATTTTGGCGAATTCCCTTAAAAATAGCTCAGAAACTTAATTTTGAAATAAAAAACAAGCCCAACAACTTCTGTGTCCAGATTTTCACATTTTGAAATATGGCAACCCTATTTGTACCCCATCCATCTGGCTGAAACTAGGCTGTGCAAGGACACAGCCAGCAGTGATTCCTGCAATTGCAACAGCTGGGAAAGGAGTGCATTTGCTGTGAAGATGCTGCCAGCAACATCCATGCGCAGATGATTTCACAAGAATATGACCAACAAGTGTTTCAAAGACATGCACCAGTAGTTGTGTGGCAAACTGTAACTGGAAAATGGTTAGATCCAAGCCAGTTTTAGTATCTAATAATAATAATAATACCCCGCCCATCTGGCTGGGCTTCCCCAGCCACTCCGGGCGGCTTCCAACAAAATATTAAAATACAGTAATCCATCAAACATTAAAAGCTTCCCTAAACATTTTCACCAGGGCAGCTAAGATCGGTGCCCTTCATTCCCATTAGCCTTTGCTAAGGCAGAAGGAAAAAATGCACACTCAAGACACTATTGCACATTACCGCAGCAAATGCAAGCCCCAAACCCACACTCTGCTAATTAGTTATTATATTTCTAGTTATCTTTCAAACAATGGTTCCTATAGCAGCCTACATAAAACTGAAAAATTAAAAACCTTCAAAAGTGATGCTAAAATTCAAAATGATTACAAGAGCAAGCAGCAGTCAGGCTTACAAAGGCAAAGATAAGCATCAAAGGATGGAACAGAAAAGCACCACCTTTACTCTTAAAAGCAAGACCTCAGACTGGCCTTCAAAAACTCATTTAAAAGCAGAGCCACCACACAAAAAGCCTTGCTGTTTACTGAAGACAATCTGATATCAGTCACCACCATGGTCTCTTGGTCTGGTGGATTGATTTGAAGCATGGATAGTCAACATTGTGCCTTCTAGATTTTGCGGGACTACAACCCCATCACTTCATTTGACAAACCCTGGACAATCTCCCTCTGAAGGGGAAGGATGAGGTAAATACAAGTGGGAGGTGTTCTTTCAAATATCCAGGTCCTAAGCTATAGGACTGGGAGCAAGTGCATCTTGTAAATCACTGGAATATGATCAAACAGGCCAGGTTAAGAGTCTTGCAACCCTAGTTTGGATCAGCTGCATTTTCCAGACTGTTTTCAAAGCCGATCTACATACAAAGTATTGCAATAGTCTATGGACATTAGCCAAAACCTTTGCTCATGCAGCCCACATCCTCTGACACCTAGGAATTCTATATTCTTAGCAACAGGTGAGTCACTAGTGCATTACAGATCTGTCCTTGGCACATTCTCTGCCGTTAGAAGGACACACTAACCAAGATCATTTAAAGACAAAGGGTGGTATTCAAATAAGTTTTATCCACAGTAGACCTGCTGGAGTTAATGAACATGATTAAGTTAGGTCCACTAAATTCAACAGCTCTACTCTTGAGTAAAACTAAGCTGAACACTACCCAATCAAGCACGACGCTAGGTGTGGCTGAACCCATTTAAAACCGATTATCTTAGGCACGCTTTATTCTTTGCTAAACTGTAGCTTTTCTGCGTAGAACATTTAGAAGCAAGACTTGGTAATTACAGGACAAAACAGCACTTTCTATGAGATGGGAAGTAGGTGTTCATATTATTTGCTTTTTAACAGCGGTGGGAACCTGCAGTCCATGGGCAGAAAGCGGAAAAAGTGGGGGTGGAGTGGGGCACAATGCAAAACAGAAGGAAGTGTCTGAAAGAGAAATAGTAATTGGTTCTGGCCTTGGCCACTGCCAGTACGCAGTCGAACAGATTATGGCCAAGCGAATGTGGCCCTCAACAGAAAAAAGCTGTCCACCCCTGGTTTATTGTCATTAGTATTTATAATTTACCAAAACAGCATTTTGGATAGAAGTAAAGTGAGTTTTAATATAGAGTTTAATGTGCTTGCATTAATAAGTTCTTTTTCATTATTATTTTTTAAGTCACCTCTAATTTTATCCACCCTGCCTTTCCCCCCTAATGTTTACAAACTTTGAAAATGTATGTGCGTGCACATTAGCCTTTTTTCTATGCGGGCTTTAGTACAGGAAAGCTTCTGCCACAATAAAATTATTACTCTTTAATGTTGCATAAGAGACTGCTGTTCAGGATGTAAGCAAACTAATATGGATTCCATACATTTTGCTGACACTTAATTAAATAGTAAAAGCGGCATCCTACTTGATCCTCAGTTGACCTACTGAAATCAATCAGTGACTTAATTGCCTATTGATTTCCATGGGTCTACTCTGAGTATGACTTAAAATGAGACCACAAAGTTTATTATAGTACTAAATATTGCCAAAAAAATTAGGATGTTTGTTGCAGGACAATTTATTGACACACACTGGAAATCTGAACACTAACATTATCTATTAAATTCTACTGTCAAAAAGCTCACGTTATTTCTACTGTGAGAAAAAGCTGTTTTTTGAAACCCAATGGAATGGCTGCCTTTTCTCCTGAGAATCTCATTATTTGCCTATTCTCTGAAAAGGAAGGAAGGAAATATCGTAGTACAATTTAGGCCTGGGCTGAAAAAATAAAGACGGAAGAAAACCACAATTATTTGCCATGGAATGAAGGTCAGAATTAATGCCGTGATATTAGAAAACTTGAACTAAGGCTTTGAGCTAATCCACTCACACTGGGATTTCCTCTTGTCACTAAAGCAATAAAAAGCTAACAAAAACATTAAATATCCAATAAGAAAGTTCGTCCAACACTCAACATTCTTGACTGCATGGTGTCTTTTACCCAGGAGAGCAAACACCCATTTTAAACTTGCAGATTTTGAAGAAAGCACTAGAGTAGACTTTCAAACCATATCATTAGTATGATTCCTCAAAGAAGAAAATGCCTAAACCTTACATACAGTTCATGCATGCCACTTCTTAAATATAGAACATTTGTACCTGCATCTAGCAAAACAATTTAAGTAATGTTGCTAACCTGTCGACCCTAGCTAACTGCAGCTGTTTTTCCCCCCCTGACAATTTCACCTACTAGGTGAAATTTATTCCCATCACTATTAAAACAAACACAAAAACAATTTTCTGTCATTTAAATAAAAAAGAAAATAAAGGGACCTGGTAGCCACAAAAGGCTTCTTAGGATATTGCTTATCCTACTAAAATGAAATTGTTTATTTTCCAACAGATGCCTTAGCTACTAGTTTCTTCCTTATACATAAAAAACACACCCTTAGTTATAGGCTTCGCAAATAACTTACTCGTGTTCATTGATGTAAAGTTCTGCGAGTTCATGCCAGGCTTCTTGGTCACCAACAAATCTAAAAACAAAACAAAACATGGAGAATTCTGTAAAATGAACAGCATGGGAGAAAAAGTAGTAAATCAAATGTAAATTCCATTTTAATTAAAAAAGATTTATCAGAATAGCAAAACACAATACGTATTCTTATAAAACACTCACTGTTCCAGATACTCATTCAACTCTCGGATGGCTTCTGCATTTTTCCCCTGGGCTTTTCGAATGGCAATCTTACGCTTTCTTGCTGCCTGTGGGTTGACATTAACAGAGGATTATGTGCTCAAAATTCCCTGGGTTTTTGTGAAGCAGGCAATTTGACTGTGCAAATTATTATCTCAATGCCGGAGGAATTCCACTGCAGAGCAACTGCTCAGCTGGAGTTTATAAATATACCCTATGACATCCTGCTGAGAGATTTAAAAACTTCTTGCTGTCACATTGCGTAGGTTTTACTTTTCATGTGAAAACTGTATGGAATCATTTCAGCCAAACAAGTGACTGTCCAGATTCTGATAATTACAACGCAGCAGGGGATGCTAATCTTTATGCAGTCCAAGGTCTGCCATCCTATCAGTTCTTGTGCTCTGTGTCTCAGGGATAGCCAGGCACTGAGGACATTTCACTACAATTTCCCCCAGGTTTGAAAAAAAATATTATATTTAAAGTAGCATTACATAACTAAATAGACATCTTGGTTTGCTGAAGCTGCCTCTGCTTGTTGCAAATGACAACAATGCTGTACGAAGGTTTTCTGACAGTACACAAAATTTTGTAACATTTCAGTTTCCCCTAACACAACTATTTCACCTTCAAGTTACCTGGCGGCAGTTTCATCAAATTAACAACTTCATAATAGGGAAACAAAGAGTCACACCCTAAAACTTTAGTCTGGGAACATAAGCCATCAGGCAAATTACCGAGCCAACTGATCCAGCTTTTAAAAAACTGACTTCACTTACAGCCGCAGAGCTGACAGTTCATTACCATGAGAGGGGTTCTTTCTTTCCACCTCTGAATGCCATTCCTTCAGAAACACACAAGGAGGGCCTCCTCAAATGGTTTGGAATCAGACTTTCCAGCGGCTGCTGCTCTATTTGTAAACCACAGAATTCCCACACAACAGAAGCCATTCAGACCCCTAAGCCTCCTGCTAAGGGAAACCTTATATCCTTTTCTAGAGCACATGTATAAACTGATCATTATCTTGCACGAACTCCTAGCAGACATTTGATCACATCAGAGGACTACAAAGTTTGGTCGAGAGTGTGTAATACCAGGTTCTAAGGTCACCTGTATCATGCAGTAGATGGAATTCCTTGCTCTACAACCAAGCAACTTTCTTGAACTCCAGGAATTTTAATTGTTCAATGCCCCCCTTCTTTTTGCAACCTCAATCACCTCAAAAATAATTTTTTTAAAAACACCCCTTCAAAATATGTTTTGAGTAGTGAAACACTACTGCTATATGTCAATATATTAAAGTTATATTGTCTATTTGCATTAGATAGCGATATATTAAGTTACATTGTCTATACTGAAAGCCCATGTTATGTTATTACTGAAGGGGCTTTTCTTTGAAACTTTGTAAAATTCTGAACTCGATAGATCTTCTGTTGTTATAACTTAAAATACCTTTCTGTGCTTGGCCAACTGGCTTGCATATCACCAGTTTTAAGAGACTCCACAGTAATCAAGCATTTATTACACCCCTCTAAATATGTGACGCCGTTCATCTCCTTCAACAATCCAAGTCAGATCATAGCTCCAAACATCTAGAGCCCTGACTGCTTATAGGTACAGTGGTACCTCGCAAGATGAATGCCTCGCAAGACAAAAAACTCGCTAGACGAAAGGGTTTTTTGTTTTTTGAGCTGCTTCGCAAGACGATTTTCCCTATGGGCTTGCTTCGAAAGACAGAAACGTCTTGCAAGTTTATTTCCTTTTTCTTAACACCGTTAATACAGTTGCGACTTGACTTCGAGGAGCAACTCATAGAACGCGGTGTGGTAGCCTTTTTTGAGGTTTTTAAAGACTTTGGTGATTTTTGAAGCTTTTCCAAAACTTTCTTGACACTGTGCTTCGCAAGACGAAAAAAACCGCAAGACAAAAAAACTCGCGGAATGAATTAATTTCGTCTTGCGAGGCACCACTGTATACTGCCAGAAACAGACGTAAAATGGTTTGTGCCCCATCCTATTATACTATCCACCATCCCTCATGGAAGAATGGATACCCTCTAGTTGAAAAAACATGGAATTGACTGGCAGGTTTAGAGAATCAAAGCTATTTCATACACTGCAATTTCCAAAATGAAAACTAACTGCTGTATTGAAAAAGCCATAACTATTCTCGCTCTCGCTCTCGCTCTCTCCCTCCCTACACACACAAACACGCATAAAAGGTCTGATGTGAACTACAGTTCAGTATTCTTTGCACAATCCATACTTAAAGAGAAGGCACAACCTACTGTTCCTATATTATAGGACATACAAACTGGCAGCATTCAGACATCACAATAAATCACAGTTAACAGTTGGTCATTCACGAGCCAATCACACCCACTTTACTCCTCCCCACTAATGCTGGGGAGAAACAAACCATAATCCCTTGCTTAGTGTTATGTCTGAACCTATGGCCAAGGTTTGTTCTTGGCTTACTGACGGTGGTTTGAAGAACAGGCTTTTTATCCTATTCCAGTAGTATAATGAATTTAGCTAAAACTGTTTGGAATACTTAAAATGATATTTAGGTGATGCAATTTACTTAGCATACTTGCTCCAACCTCGACTGTCTATAGTCTTTTCAAGCAAAGTCAGTACTGTTTAACTCAAGCTTCACATAATTTTTTAAAACCTGCAGAAATTCTTGTTGAGATCAAACCTGTCTATCATCTAATCATTTCAACAGAAACTATTATTTCTGCCCTACTATGTATTCCATTACCTGTTGCATTAAATGTAGAACAATATATATTTTTAAAATAACCAGAAAAAGGAAACCCATTCATCTCTAATTGTATGACAACTGATTCATGGAATTGCCACCAGCGGAAAAGTATTCAGATAGTATTCTTCACTAGGTGGGTAGGAAAGTGAGAAAATGATTCACTTCAATAAGCTAGAATGTGTCTGTAAAAGTATTTGGAATTCATCTCAAAACAAGAGATTCTTGAGAACTAGTCTGACATACAAGAGGACCCCCCCCCCGGCTTTTCATTCAAAATGTACTTCAGGACCTGGTCAAAATGTGTCTGCAACCAGATCCGTTTTGCTTGACCGTGCAGAACTGGTGACATAGAATTTCCCCCTATCCATTTCCCAGCATTCGGAACAAAACCCTACAGAGATTACTGGCTGGCTCTGTAAAGCCATCATTCTTAATGGAAAGATATAGGTCATCTTAAAGGAACACTTATGCTATAATTAGTATCAAATGAGCCAAGGTGCTTTAGTATATCCCATATTTCTTTATTAAACAATGAACCATTCCAAACTATTCGTTTAAAAAAGGCCAATAATCCCCAATTTGGCTCAAGAACTAATCCTCCATTTGTCATGATTCTTTTTTTTAAAAAAATAATAATAGCCTTAAGTAGACTCAAAGTGAAGTGAGGATTTGAACATGTGTCAACTTCTGCATTTGATTAACAAGAGAAACTGACACTAAATTTGGAACGAGCTTTTACCAGGAGGGGATTTTGAAGGTGATGACTTTCATGAGAAAGAACTCTGCTACATTTTAGATTGAATTTAAAAGGAAAAAAACACACAAAACAAAGCAGAAAATATGTAAACCTGTAATTCTTAACATTGCTCATAACATTGCTTTTTAAAGTGAAGATTAAGTTATTTCTCCAAAGATGGAACGCTGGATTCCTCTGGATTTCTGTAAGGTTAAGGAAGATACCATTATGCTGGGGTGAGGATTTTTTTTACTTTGGACTCGATAGTTTCATGGCAAACCTCCAGGATACGTGTATTAAAAAGAAGTGTTGCCAAAGGAAGAAAGCTCCTTGGCATGGAACACAGATCACACGTGTACCTGCATGCATGATGATGGCAAAGTAGCTCATAAAATCAAAGAGCCCAACTCCAATGTAAAGCAGTACCATTGCATATCACAGCCACTGTTGGCGTCACTGAACTGGTGGTTGCGGACTGGTCAGTAAAAGTACATTTGCTTGACATTAACAGTGACAGGGTAAAGATTCCCTCCTGATCACTTGTATCTTTATGCTGTGAACCGCCCTGAGATCTTTGGATAAATGTCTTAATACAGACAGTGACCAGTTTAGGCTTATTGGAATAATTTTTGTTATACAATTTGGACAATATTTCCGTGTTCAGCACCCACTGACCAGTATCTGTCCTGTGACCAACATTTGAAATAAAAAGCAAGTAAGTTCACCAAAGGAACATCAAAAAGCAACAGCTGAAACAGTCAGTCTACATTCTAAATACTCAGGATACAATACTGAAGTTTAATATGCATGTACATCTGAATCTAACACATATTTGATTCTAGACTTTTAAAAGATTATCATACTTACTCCCTCTTATTTGCAAAGTCCCCAACTATGAAATAACATACTTGCTTCATACATTAATGCCATTAATTAAGACAGGGAGGAGTCTTAATCTTATCTGTAATATATATTTTTTAAAATCATCTGTCCTCCTTGCTTTGTGAGAGAAACAAAGCAAAGAACATTTTGAAAGAGTATGGTCTCCTTTTACTCAGAATCTTTATTATGCCTTAATTATAAAAATATATTATACAAGTGCTTCTTCTTTATATGTTAACTGTTCCAAAAATGAATTTGTAAAGCAATGAATTTGAAGAACACTGGAAAGCACAACTGAGACCTGAATACTTCTCAATTTACTAAAATTATTAGCATGTCAGAAAACCAGTGTTAAGCATAAAAAACCCTGAAACACAGCAGTATATGTAACACACAGTGCTAGGACTTCCACGTTTTACTATAATAATTGTTGTTGCTTATATTTGTTAAACATTGAAAAACAAAGTAATATCTCAATTTCATATAGTAAATAAACATTTTAAAGGATTATCACCTCCTTTTTGTTGATCCATGCATTATGATGGGTACACAATATTGAAAGATTTTCTCTAACTGAAATGACTGAAACTTTTTAGGGAGGTAGGAAGCAATGACTCGTTTCCAGAAGACCAGGAGATATGGGAAACCAAATGTTGCACTCATTTCCTCTCACTCACTCAGTTTCTCCTGATATGATTGACTTTCAGAACCCAACTTCATCTGCTTTTTTCCAGTAACTCAGGATCACTTTTTGGAGAACGCTCTTGGTGCAGTGAATTTTCAAACTGGAAATCTAAAAGACGCACATCAAGAGCTTGGAGGAAGAGATGAATTCCTTTCCAAGGATTCAACTGGCTGAAGCTAATGGAGTATAACAGAACCTGGACATACATAAGACATATTGCTCACAACTGTTTTTTCACCACATGTCAAGGCTACATGGTCCTTGCATAGCACCTGAACTATGACTTTCAAGTGCCTCATTTTTAATTTAAGGTTTTAAATGACCCTTTCATATTAATTTAGAAACTGAAGTCTTACTTAAGCAGCTCTTAACAAATGCTAAAATGTTTGCTCCCATCTTCATTTCATAGCTGTAGAATGCAATAATGACTGGCGCTAGGATGCACTTTTCTATTACATAACCTAGTTTACAACTCTCTGTACCCTAATGGAAAAAGCTGTTGGATATTAAAGTTGTTTTTAATCCTTGTGCAGCCCCTATCTTTCCTGTTTCAAACTGTCAGCTCCTGCAATGCATGATTTTTACATGACTTATGTGAACAAAAGTCTATGTTTCACTTGCCAAACAAGAGAAAATGTTTAATATATCTAAGCAACTCCATGTGTCAGCACACCAGAAGAGACTGCTTTAAGCTCAAGTTAGTGCCAAGACAAACTCAGCAATAGTTTCAGTTTAAAACCATGAAGCATTTATTTTCCTACAGCAGCCATATGTGCACATGGAAATAATTAACAGGTAGATGACATATAAACAACTCCAATACCTGACAATTTATCAAAACTTTCTACCTAACCTTCATTCTTTAGAATACAAAAATCAAACTAGCCAGTACCTAAAGAATAGGAATTTCTTCAACATTGTACAAATTTTAAGAAGCGTAAGAAATGCAAGTAATCAGATGTTCTAATATTTCAATATGTAATAGTACTCTTTTCAGAATTACTGTCTGGCAAATTTAGGATGCTTTTGGAAACAGTAAGAGAGGATTCATAGTCAGCAGAAATAATACAAAGTACAAAGATGGGCGTGAAATGAACAGTGTCATTTTAAAAATGTTTCCAGAGGCATTATATCTTATTGTTTATTGGAGGCTTCATTGTCCAATAGATATCTGTCACAACACATAGTATGAAAAAAATAATTTTCTACAACCTTGTAGCCAGCATGTGAATGCATTTCCATATTACCTATCTTCCTGGACTATTAAAAAATCATGTTCTCTACAAAGCAACTGGCATAATGCATGAATTCAAATTAAACAATATTTTCAACTGGCCCCAATATGACAACTACTCATATTAAGAATGCACTGAAGGGAGTTTTGCTTTTCATCAAAATTACTACTTTTGGTTCACCATGTTCAGCTGGACTTGTTTTAAAAAGGCTACAAAACTGTCTGCAATTTGGACCATTTATTTTCAGCTAACAAGATTATTTAGATCCATTTTTTTCTCCCAAACCAATAAAGATTTTTAAGACCAATGCTACATGAGTAAAGTTCCAATCAACCCACTGTTTTTAATTTACAGCTGCTTCTCTGTCTCAACTCAGAAAGGGAAAAAATATGGTTAAATAAAACTCACATTTAAACCTCCAATCTAGTAATAGGAAAGCATGATTCCAACCTTTCAAACAATAACTGGCCCTATAAAGTTGTCTCTTCATTTACAGCTAATCCAAGAACATGGAAATTAAGCCTCCAATCAAAGTTACCGACTTTGAGTGCTAAAATTTTCCAGGAAACATTTTACAGTTAACATAGACAGGTAAAATGAGCATGAGTACACATTCTATCATCTTCATTAGAAGGACTAGCCCTAAAAGCTAAAAATAAATACATACCTTGTCTTCTCTAATCCACTTATAAAATGGAAGGCTATGACTATTTATATTAAACTGAAGGCTGGGCCCATTTAAATTAAACTGAACAAGAAAATTAGTCAGATAGATTCCTGAGAACAAAGGGCTGGAGCCAAAGGTGTCCTTCCATGAACAAACAGAAAGGAGACAATGTTCATTGATTCACCTTCCTCGCTATAAATCCATGTACTACCTCTCACGCTGTTTTTGAGTGTTCTCCAGTCATTTAGTCCAGACTATGGTAGGGAGGTGGGAAGGACAGTGAGAACTATCTCTCCCCATTTCACTCACCTCTGCTGAATACTGCTGGATGAAAGGCCCTTCTGAGATTGGAAGGGCATCCCTAGATTCAGGCCAGATTTTCAGTTATTTGCCATGGAAATTGAAACTGTTTTAATCTCTGATTGGGAAACACGACAACACTTTTTCTACTTGTTTCAGCACTGTGCAGATCTACTTCACTTCCCCCTCACAAAAAAATAACAACTGAAAATTGCAAACTGGAAACAAACTGGAAAGAGTTGAAAAATAATACACTGAACTACTGTTGTTCTTTAATTTGCCTTCTGAAATGTGCTACATATATTGGTAGAGGTGAGAAACATTGATATAAACTCAGTACACTATCAAAGAAATATATTAAATTCAGATATTTCCCACTTCAAATGTCAGATATTTCCCACTTCAAAAATTTTAACCCAGGAAGTTCAACAGTACTGGCAGGAAGTATGTCACTCAAATGTCATTTATCTGTTCAACTTACAGTATTAGTTGAATCTTCTTGTAAAATCCTGTCATATAGCTGGATTGCATCATCATACCTGTTATAAGGCATAAACAAAATATTTGCAGCTTAATTCAACACAGCTCTAGCAACTCCATATAGAGCCTTTCACCCCAACCAAGCAAAAGACGCACAGGGACACAACTGGTGCACACCAGGTTCCATTAAACTGAATGGAAATATATTCAAGATTCAAAACTCACCCCTCTGCATGTGCAACTCATTGCACGTGATTCAACCTGGATGGCAAACTCTGTTCAACATCTTACTCATTGTGTTCAAATTTGGTTGTACTTGTCAATGTGTTTTCTGTATCGTTTGTGATTACTTTTGTTATATTTATAATTATGTAAATCCTTTCATGTTGTAAGCTGCCTCCAGCATAGTTTTTAACTATGGGAAGGCAGGATACAACTAAAATGATAATGATGATGTAACTCCATGGGTGGGTTTGTTTCTTGTTTTCCATTACTGAAAAACTGTTCTAAGCTGTCTTGAACATCATTTGATTTCAAAGTAATGGGCTTTGAATCTTAAAAATGAATAAAAATATACTTTTATCATCAGCTTTACTTTCTGGCCAAGACAACAAAGGAAAGAGCTTCAAGATTCTGGATCACTCAAAGGATCCACTCTGTCAGTACTATATACTCTGATTAGCAGTCACTCTGCAAAATTTAGAAAGCCCTTCTCACAGAGATGCCAATAATTTAAACTGAAACTTTGGGTGGAATTCAATATAGTGATAAGAAGACTGGGGAGGAGAGCTAAGAAAGCCCTGTTACACTCATGGGAGTCCTTGCTCTGGTTTCTGCTAGCAGAACAAATAAGTTGATTCTGGCCCACTCTGTCCCTGAAGCATGGCTTCTCTTCTTCATCACCAGAATATTCTCTCTTGTACCGATAATCCTTTCAAAGAACAGCCTTCAAACATATGTCACATTTTCAAATGCTTTCCTTTGCCATATTCCAGACCCAGTATTAAAGACAACACTGGGGCAAGGGGAACTCCAGCTTGCGGGAAAGCAGGCAGCCATGTCACATGCTTACATTCTATTTTACCTCCAGTACATACAATCTAAATTTCCTTATGGGAATGCTACCTGCTGCCTTGTGGGACATCTTTGGGAGAAAAAAAGCCTAAAGAGTAAACCCTAAGCAAATTGGGAGTGGAGTCCCTAAGACGGTTGGGTGGCATCTTGGATGGCCTGCTTCCGTCAACTCCTGCAGCCAAGTTGGAGCCAAATGTATTGCTTGCTTTCCTTTGGAACACATAAACAAAGCCAAGAAGAGTCTTGTTGCCCAGGACCTCCATACACACTGCCCAGGCTTGCACCCTGCAGAGAGGTCACTGCGGTGGTGCTAAAGTAGCAAAAACAATGTGAGATGCAGCAGTTACAAGTTACTGCTCTCTGCAGCCACAGCAGGCGCTGTGATTTTCCAGCAACTTGACTTCACTCCCGGAGGTGCCCTCTATGGTTTCTCAGGCCAGACAGATGCCAACAACAATTAAAAAATGACTTTAAGAGGTCTCAACTTCTCTCACCCCCCCACCTTTATCAAGTTTGTCTCTCTCACACATACCACTGTCATCTCCAGAAACATTTTAATGAATTTTATATGGCCCAAATCTGGGCAGCAGATTTAAAATACTGAGGACCTGTTTATGATTATAACTGTGTGAAGCTAAGAGTCCCTTTAGGGTCCCATTTATTTCACTATCAGAAATGTCTGCTTTCAACTGCTTCTATAAAATCTAAAGTAAAGAGACTTATTTAGAAAGAAACATAAATCCTCAATATTCCAAATCTACACTGGAGTAGATCAAATTATTTTATGAAGAAGGACCACCACTGAAAGAAAGTGACTGTGTTATTGTAGTCTAAGGTGGTTAATACATTTTAGAAACTATGTACATAAATTTTTTAAAGTGTCTTATGTAACAACTATATCAAATTCTCTAAAATATTTCCATGCTAAAATTTATTTGTATACAAGTGACAATCCTATCTCCATGTGCACAGAATTTACTCCCTTCACAGAAATGTTGATTGTGGCAGATTTTTTTTTAATGCAGTGTCTGGAAAAGATTTTTTAAAATGTAGTTACCTCTCCATGGCTTCAAATCTCATGCCTGTTAACCGCTTAACTCTATGGCTCCCAGGGAATTGCCGTCTTAGCTCTTGAAGACAAAACTGTATTTTTAAGAATAACACAAAGAAAAAGGGGGAGGTAAAAAACACAGTTTTCTTTCAAGTTGGAAACCAAAATCTGAGTGATGTTTATTTGAGAACAGTAACTGAGAAGCTCATTTGGCAGCAGTCTCGCTTAACACAACACTAAAGTACCATATCAACACTTCTTCAGCAATGTTTTGAGAGATACCAGGACACATAGACAGAACCCAGGTTTCATGCTACAAAAATATCCTGTAGTCAGTTAAAAAAAAAAGACACCCCACTCCCAAACAACCCTACAATTTATAAACAAGGTAATTCTTTTGAGCTTCAACCACATAATGCAATTTGCACTCCTGTGGAGAGTTATGCAATGCAGAGAAATTAAGCCCTTAATTGACTAAATCTACAACCTAGAAAGTGACTTTTGAACAGTTTATTACTGTTTTGAACAGTGACGAAGCAATCATGATGTACCAAAGGAAGGTGATAGAAGGCAATAGCCAATGAAGGTTAACAAGAACGTGTATCCAAGTTTTAGTAATAACAAAGAAGGAAGTGTTCCTTGCAAATCAACTCTAGGGGTAGCAATTGTGATACTCTGTTTAATGTTGGAACTCCCAACTCCCATCAGCCCCAGCCAACACAGCAAATGGTCAGTGATGAGGGGAAACGAAGTTCAACAATATCTAGAAGGTGTTGTGCTGGATATTCCCCTCTAGCTTATTGTCCCCTTTGGTATACATTTTGTGTCAACGCTCTAAAATGGGCACATTCGAGTATTCTAAGAAGTATGGTTTCAGACCCTGCACAAATTGTATTTAACTAAGGTAGCTCAAACTCATGACAGACTTTTCTACTTTCCCCCCTTCTATTCAATTTTCTCATTTAAGGGGGAGGGCAGCCAGAAAGGAAATGAATAATAAATATTAAAGGCAACTGCAAACAAGGTTCTACTTTCATCTAAGGCAAAGAAAATGCAGACACTATCTTTTCACACACAAGTATTGCAGATGGCTGTCCCAAGCAGCCGTGAATTTGACCTCATGGTGTGCTCTTTTGCCACTGTCTATCAAACGAAGGATCTTTATTTGTGAACTAAGGTCATGCATGGAGGGAGAGAGATACTGCAACAAGCTATGAACAGCCATTATGTGGTAGAAACAGTCCTAAAAACTACGATGAATAGCAAATAGAAATTGCAAAACACTTCATCTGGAACCAATGGCACCTATTTTTTCATAACAGAAGCCTCACACTTGTTGAGTTTCCTAGTCAGGAAGTTAAGAGCGCAAACCCCATTCTGGTATCAGGTGCTTGCAGCTGTGGCAAAAGATTAGTCAGAATTATGGCTATTTTGAATGTCCTTTCAACTAAGTATGCGGAACAATAAAAATCATAAGTTTTCATTAAGCCTTTAAACTGTTCTCGGTGTGGAGACCAAATAGTCACAGTGCTTGCATAAGTTTTCATTAAGCCTTTAAACTGTTCTCGGTGTGGAGACCAAATAGTCACAGTGCTTGCATCATGCTGTGTTTCTTATAGGACACTTTGGGGCCAGAAGTTCAAACTTAAAACTACTGCAGCAATTATTAGTGTGTTTTTTTTATAAAAAAAAACAGGTGTGAATTTGTTTGTTGGTTCCCTTAGGAAACCCTTCAGTAAAACAAAGGGAAATGTTCTTCATATCTATTTTTATTATGTGTTCTAAAATATTTCAGATAACTTCACTACCACATATGAAAACATGATAACCATCAGCGCAACATAGAAGTTTAATGCAACTTTCTGCCTTCAAACTTTCTTGTTGATCCTGTGAAGCCACAGGGAACTAAGGATGATTTTGAAGGTAACTACTTTATGCTGGCACCCTTACAGCAAAACTTTCTAGGATTAATCCTCACCCATCTTGACTTATAAGAGCAACCAAGGTTGGGTCGGCTGGCTGGTTGGGTCCTGGCGTTTGTGATTCGCTGTGAGCTGCATGTTAAAGAAGAATATGAGCAACCATTCTTGGAGAAGGGCCCACCAGACCCAGACAACTGTGCCAAATACCAATTAGTTACCAATATGCCTTTTTGTGATAAGGTGCTCCAGTGGATGGTGGCCATACAACTCTAAGGCCTCTTGGATGAAGCAGGTTATTTATATATGATTTCACGTTAGGGTTTGGTACAACACTACCTTTGGCAACTGTTATTCCAGGTGAGAGTGGACAACATGCAACCATGTTGATTCCCCTGGCCTTCTCAGAAGCCTTTGATACCAGTAACCATGGTATCCCCTCTGGACGAACCATCTGGGGTCAGAACTGGAGGAATTGCACTGCATGCAGGCTTCTGTCCCTATCTTGACAATCAGTTCCAGAAGTTGGTACCCAAAATATTATTACTCTTCCATAGTATAAGATCACACTATGGTGATCCACAAGACTCCATTTTGTCCTGATACTATCAAAAGAAGATGCTGAGTGAGGTGTCATCATTATTTCTCTATTTTATCATATCCAGATGAAGCTGCAGATGTGCTAAATTACTGCCTGCAATCATCAATGGACCAGTTGGGGGACAATAAGCTGAAACTGCAGTGGGGGGGTGATGCTCATTCTGGGGTTACACTATCCCTAAAAGATCAGATTCACAGTTTGGGTGCTATTAAACCTGGGGCATTACTTGGAAGCGAAAGTGCCCTTTGTGGCTTGAAGTCAACTGAGTTGTATCCCACGCTGACCCACTATTGATGGATGGCTCCTTGATCCAGCAGAGGACTCCATCAGCCGAACACGGAGAGTGAGGCTTCCCCCACCGCTGTGCCCTTGAGGAGTGTGTGAGAGAGAATGGGACTTCCAAGGATTATAGTGAGTATGTGAAAATCACCAGAGTCCCAACTGGATCAAACAGCCTTCCATCATGGACAGACCCACTGCCCCTGAAGCAATCAGAGACTGTTTGATTTGGTTCATTTCTGGGTTCTAATTACAAGAAGACCAACTACTTTTGATTTAAAAAGCTATTTTACTTTATTAAACTGTGAATTTCAAAGAAAAATAAACCTACTTCCTTTACTATCACCTCAGGCCATCTTGAACTCAGTTTACATATACACAAAAACCCTGTCCTAGTTTATTTGAAATATTTCAAAAGTGGTTTCCACTGACAACAGAAAGGATATGAGTGCATGGGTAAAGTGATGCAATACAAAAGGGTCCCCCTTCTAAAAAACCCTTTATGTTGTAAAACATGCTTATCATTCTCCACATCTTGCTCTATATACAGCTGGTAGGACAGATTTTGGTTGAAAATTAGGAAACTCTTAACAGTAAGTTTTATGACAGTAGAACCATACCTAGGGAATGGGCTCTATCCCACCATAAGTCTTCAAGCAAAGGTTGGATAGCTAGGTTGCTCTAGCTCTGGATTTCTCTCATCAAGGAAGGAGTGAAACAGATGGCTTACAAGCCCCTTCCAACTCCATGATTCTATCATGGCTTTCTTTTTATTGGGTGATACTGGCAAGATCTCCTGAACGAACAGTGATGTTAACTGCATCTCACTTTCTACAAACCCAGTCATATTTGAGATATCAGAATGAGATATTCTAATATAATAAAATTGTTCCAAAACTGTGTTCATAAGGTATTGATAAAGAAAAACAACTCTCTTATTCTTGAAATTACAATTAGCTTAAAAATTCATAAATGATCTTTTTCTCACATTCCCTTTATACTTTTCCTTGAGCTCACATCCACTGCCAAACTAAGGAACAAACTTTCAGCAAGAAAATTCTGTATACGTAATTCGAACATTTACATAGCTCTTTCACCAGAAGTTGCTGGTTAGAGGAAAAGTATCAAATTCCCTAGTTTGTAGGTCTCCTCCTTTTTTACCAAAACGAAAAGGATTTCCATAATACAAACATTTCCGTAGCAGCTATGCAATGAAACCCACATGCAAAACATTTACTGTAGATGGCACAAAAAAATCAGTAGATTGAGAGAGGTACCTTTCAATCATTTGAAAAGTTGACATACACTGAGATTCTGTATCAACATTTTCTTTACAACATAGCAGCTAACATATTATTTTGGCACCCAGCTTGTATCCAAGTACTGTAGCTGTAAATATTTTTAGAACTTTTGAAAGACCTGTGATAATTATAAGCAAAATATTGGTGTAGGCATTATTTCATTTAAGGTTCTACAAGCCTCCAGGTCTACACAATAAAAAAAGTCTCAGTATTTGTTTTCCCATAATGCTTGTGTTCATGCTAGCCTCACTGAAGGACCTAAACTGCAATAGTTTATCAGTATAAAATGGAAGCTAGATTTCTCATGATGGAACGTGACAGTTGTTAGTTGTTTCTTAAAAATAAATAGGAAAAATATGCACTCCAGCACTGAAGAGGAAGAGTGCACAAAATTAAAATTAGTAAACTTTTAAAAGCAGCTTACTACAGAAATGCCAGGCCATAACTTAGTGGTGGTAGGAAAGGAAGGATATGCTGAGAAATACTATGGGTGGCATTCAACATGAGTCCTACTCAAAGCAAACCCACTGAAGTAAATGGACAGGACTAATTTAAGTTCAGTAATTTCAATGTGTCTACTCTAAGTAGGATTTCATTGAATACCAACCTATCATTCTATTCTTAAAGACACCTCCATGCCTATGAGGAACAGTAAGATGAGCTCTTAATCTTTGAAGAACACAAAACTTTTTAGAACTTCACAAGACAACAAAAGAATTGCAACAGAATTTTGCAGTAGAGTGCTGGACAAATGCAATACAAAACCACTGGGGGGGGGAAGAGATTGTCTAGCTCCCCAAAAGCACATTGTGCTATAAACTGACCATCCAGAACCACCTATTTGCACCTCCACAAAATTACCCAGAAAAGTTCCCCATTGTGTAAATTAAAAAGGTGCTTCCTCTCACTCAAGGCAGCCTCTCCAGATTTCACCAATTCCCACTCTTGCTGCAGCCCTCTATGTTGCACACCATGCCATTCCAAAGGGTACCTCAAGCTTCAGGAGCAGCTTTTCAGGGGGCATAGAGAGCTGCAGGAGGAGGAGCGAATGGGAGAATCCTTTGCGGTAAGCAGTGTTCCAAGCCACTACATTTGCAGCAGAGGTCAGCTGGACTACTTACCAGTGCCAAGTCATCCCGACTGCAGTCCAATGCAGCAATCATCACTTGCTCGTATATTATCCAGACTAGGAAACACAAAAATGCATCTGTCATATGAAATGAGGCAGTATGTTTTTCAAAACACCTAAAACAAATTACATTCTCTTTTTTTCTCATAGAAACCTGGACCTGTCATAATTAGTGCTCAAAATTAATATGTGCTACTCAACACTTTTAAAAGCTATACTGTTCGCTTATGCTGCGTAAGCATTTTTGTAAAGTGTTCCATATTACAATGCAATACAGTACTACTACACCAGAATAGCTATTTATGATAACAAACCAACTATGGAAATGATTCACAGCTCCCCCGATTTCAAAAAGCACTTTGGTGGTTTGGCAGAACAACAGTTTTTAGGGGACACTTTCACCAATTCTGGTACTCTGTTCTTCTCCAATTTTTCCTTTACGTCAGGGATGGCTAAACCCTGGCCTGAGAGCTGGAGCAGGACCCCAAGCAATTTTTTGTAGCTCCCAGAGATATCACCAATTTTGACAGTGGTGGCACAAAGCGAAAAAAAATGTAAAGGAGATACAGCACTATGGTGGGTACATATGTTTAAACTGAGTTTAATTTATGCCTGATGAGGTGAGTGAGCGAGTGAGTGAGACTGGGTGGGTGAATGGTTGTATGAATAAAGTGTATTATGTTGACTGAAGCTGTATATTATACTGTCATATAATGCTCTTGTAAGTGACAATGAATAATAATAAATAAAACTACCCTATTATACTGAGAGTGTTTGGCATTCAAGAGGAAAGCCATTCACATGAAATAGACAAGTGTACAAATTTCTGTGATACACACATACTTAGAATTGTTCTGTGTAAAAACTAAAGGTTTGGGAGGGTACAGATTGCCCCTCAGTGAAAATCTACTTTCCACAGACAACACAACAATCACTCTCATTTTGGCTTTTACCACTTCAGTGAATGTGTGGCTATTATGTTCTATGCCTTCTTGATTAAAATCAGATTGCCTTCTTAGAATAGAAACTACAGAGCCTCTGGAAACAAAAATGGATATGACACCAGGGAACATATGGAGGATTCATTCATATACATCATATGAACACTATTAATTAGGGAATCTACTGTTGTCAGTGATTCTCCGAAAAGACAAAACGAGTGAAGTAAATATGTTTCATTTATAAATTAACTAAGTGAAAGGCGATGAAAAACAGCACACTCAACTTCCCTGTTGAGATCACTGCCCTTTCTATCACCCACTGAGTTTACATTAAACTCGGGAGACAACATATGCAGGCCTGTTTTCTTGGGCACTTCAAATTTTAAATCTCAAAACCAAATAAGAAAGTGACTGTGCTATGCTATTATATGCAACTTTCAGGTGTATACCGAAGCCAGGTTTGGGGAACCTTTGGCCCTCCAGATGTTGCTGAACTACAACTCTCATCATCCTTGGCCATTGGCCATGCTTGCTAGTGCTAATGGGCATTGTAGTTCAGTAACATCTGAATGGACAGAATTTCGCCACTAAGTTGTTCTCTGAAAAAAATATTCTAATGCTCATCATTATGAGATCTATTAGCAACATCTTATGAAACTGAAAGACCTCTGGTCGAGTGTTCTAAGAAATGAACCCATTTCAGAAATATTGCTCCCCTCTCTCTCTTTGTATAATGTCAGTGTTACTGAGACCAAAACTTCCTAAAATTAAATAAAGAAGGGTACACCCGTTCTGATCTTTGAGACCTTTGCCAAAAATGAACTGCTCATACTGTCTGAATTAGGTTAACTAAGTTATAGAAAGGAAAGAAAGAGAAAGTAGAATGAGCTCATTAAAAACAAATCACTGATACTTATTCCCTTCCTGCCTACATAAGAGCCTTGGTCAACTTTATACAGTTTTCTTGCCATAAAACACTCTGATGCTTTATCCTGTGCTTATATAAAAAGAGGTATTGCATTATTGTGACTTTCTTTTTAAACAATTCCCTTCTGGTATAAAATGCTCTGTGCCAAGTTTCTGTCTGGGGAGAATTAGTATTGTGCACTTACGATCTCCCCAAATGATGTAGAGCTATTGTATATAATGAAAATCCAGGCACGCCCTAGACTCTCATGCCCAACGCTATAATAAAAGCAACTCTTATATTGATTTCACGTAGCTGAAGTTATGGTTAAATTTCAGGAATAACCTTCTGTCTCCATTTCAAAACTTAGCCATCCTTCAAACGAGTGAAGACAACCAATGAGTGAAATTTGGCCAAGGATGCTTGGGCCAAGGGTTCTCTCAAATGTATTTGCATGACTAGCGGGCCAGGCTATACATCCGATTAGGTATACATCTCCCTGCCCACACCCTTAAGTTGGAAAGCAGATCAAGAGTCAGGAAAACTGGCAGATGTTGAGCTTTATGGGCGTACCATACATCAGCATGCACAAGAAAAGTGAAGTAAAAGAAAAATAATATTGAGGGTGTAATAGGAGAATCAATCAGGTAATAATGAAAGCAGCTGCACAGAATAAAGACGGCAAGAGACGTGAAACAGCTTTGACCTACTGTCATCGCCAAGCTTAGCTGCATATTCATGAATTAATTCTTCTCCAACTTCCACTATCTGCTCACTGTTCCGATAGTTCTCTTCCCTCCATTTCCTCATTTTATCTCGCATCTCTGAAAAACAAAAAACAAAAATGAAACAGTGGAATGACAATTCCTAATCAACATTTCTGAAAAGAATTGGTATATGCATTTTCTGTTTGATAATAATTGTTTTAGTAACTTAAAGTTTCTAGCTTTGAAATTATGTTTGTGGAAAATAAAATAAATATTGAGACTTTTAGGTTTACAAGTATTAGCTAATGAGTCTTATCCCTTATACAGTGAAAAACCAGCACATCATGAACTCCCAAGCACATCTGCCATCAGTAGCATTCAAAAGTGCAAAATGTGAGAGGCAATACACAGCACATTTAGAGGCTGAGAATCTTATCTCTATGCAGAGACAAAACACTGTCTGCCTGCAAGTGGTCATCATATTAGGCACCTGGCCAGAAAGAGTAGCCAGAAAGAGGAAACAAAAACATGGACCAAGTCTGGTGCCTGCTTCCTTTCCAATCATTCAAGGCAATTGATGTAATTATAATTCTAGGAAGATCATGAAGGTTATTTAATGAGAAATTGTTCTTACCAAAGCTGAAAGTGTGGTTCTCAATTAACTGATGTGCACCTGCCTACAGCCAGGTAACGGATGTGAGGTATCCGCTTTGCCTTCCCCCCACCCCAGTAATTTTGAAGAAGAAGAAGAGAAGAGTTTGGACTTGATATCCCGCCTTTCACTCCCCTTCAGGAGTCTTAAAGCGGCTAACATTCTCCTTTCCCTTCCTCCCCCACAACAAACACTCTGTGAGGTGAGTGGGGCTGAGAGACTTCAAAGAAGTGTGACTGGCCCAAGGTCACCCAGCAGCTGCATGTGGAGGAGCGGAGACACGAACCCGGTTCCCCAGATTAAGAGACTACCGCTCTTAACCACTACACCACACTGGCTCTTTCTGCACAACCTTTGAGCTGGTTGTGCAGAAAATCTCAGTTTGCAAGCCATTTATTTATTTCAGTTATTTGTTCAATTTATATACTGCACTTTATCCAAAGATCCCAGGGCGGTGTACATTAAGAACATAATTTACTCAGCATAATAATAAAAACATAATACTCAGCGTAATAATAAAATTATCGCAATACAGTCCACACACACATTTAACAGGCCATAAATTGTTCAGTGGCCGAAGGCCTGGGTGATGAGAAATGTTTTCGCCTGGCAGCTAAAGATGTGTAAAGATGGCCCATTCTTGTGTTGTAAACCAAGGTGTGTCTTGTGTTGTAAGCCAAGGTGTGTCTATGAGTAAGTGTGCTAGCGCAGGTTGCTCAAATCACACAAGCCACACTCTTCCCTTTCTGAAGCCAGGAGAAAACAAACCCAAACAAAAAGAAATCTTGGATTCCTCTCATGGTTTATTTGGAGACAAACAAACCACAAGTGGTGGTTCACATGTAGCACTAAGCCAGCACTAATTTGTTTCTTCCTGACTTGGGATAGGGCGAAATGGGGCAGGCGAGATCTGAGCAGTGTTCACCAACCATGCCTGCTTGTTCATGTTAAACCATAGTTTGGAGTAATGGATGAAACGGGCCAATGTCTAAAGTCAAAATTTTCTCCTCTTGCTGTTCAATATCTTTTAGCACTGGGGTAACTGATCATATTCACAGCATGTGGATGCTCACTGATTATTGTGTTGCTGCCTTTATGGATGCCAGAAACATAATGCAGTCAAAATGCTGAATTTCAGGCTTAATGCATAATGGAGTTGAACCTGTCAAGTTCTGTTTGATTTTATTATTTTTGTCATAATGCACATTTATGATTATTACTCCTTCAACTTGCCTGCTGCCTCTATGAAAGATTTGTAATTGCTTTGGGTAATATTTCCCAATGCAAACATATAACTGAACATGCTTTGAGTCTTGAAGAGAAGTAGGAACAAGTTTCATCTCAAAATGAGTATATACTATTATTGCTTCATTGTGTTAGCTACGAAACAGATCATTTTCTTCTATTGCCTCATCTGGGAACTCTTGGATTGTTTTCATTATTCCTATAAACTACAGATTATTCCAAGGCCATTGGTTGCTTTCTATTTCAGTAAGAATTATAAAATTGGAATAGCAATGTACATAGATATTTTCACTACTATTCCCTAAACTAATATAAAAGCATGGTCTCAGGGAGTATGCGAAAAATTAAAATTATATCTAAAATTAATATGGCAACATTTATGTACACTTTTAACTATTTTTTAAATAGGGTAGTCATTACACTTCATGAACATTACATCATCTTCTATTATGAGGAAATGACCAATGGGGAAGTTTTAAATCCTTATTAATCACACTTTCAAAGCATCCAAAATCACACAGAAAAACGCAGTTTCTGAATAAATAATTGACAAGAACACAGAAAGCTAGACTGCAAAAAAGCATGGCAGTTTGAGTTGGAAAATATGTATAAATAACCAAACAGCATTGGCAGCAGACATAAAAATCCATCTCAAACTCAAGGTGACATAATCAATCAGTCAAGGTGGACCTGAAAGTCATCATGAACTCAAGCTGTTATATCCTGCCCAACGATGCCTTTTTTCACCCTTTATAAATTGTCTGCATAAGGATGTTGCCACACTGCAATTTGCTTGAGCAGAGACAGGTGGTGCTATGAACTACAGAGTGACAATAGCTCACCAGCCCACCTCCCTTAGTGGCAGGGAGCAGTGAAGAGAGACGTAATGGTCCAACAAACCATGGAGGCACAGTTAGACTAGGGCAGCTCCCCAGGAACTGCTTCCCAGTCTTGCTCTGATGCCACCCGCCACTTCCCTCCTAACCCTCCACCACTGAAGGGAACTGCTGTGCAGTTGCAGGTCACTCCTGCTTACCAAGAGGGGGAGGCATGTGCCAAAAGGAGTTTGGGGCACTGCATGGTGGCAGGAGAGTCAGATTGGCTCTGGCATGATGCATCAAGCTCCCTATGCCTTGCTCCTCCCCTTCTTGTTAAGCAATGGAGCCCATAGTGTTGGGAAGCCAGGAAAGCAATGGAGCCCCACACTCACTGCCACATTGGCTGCCACTGCAGTGTAAGGGAAGCAGGGAGGTTGTGAGTCATAAAGGGGGAGGCAGTGTTTGAAACTTGCATTGTTCTAGGCGCATTTTGCGACAGGGAATTTCATTAGTGCAAGCAGTTTCTGAGCTCTGGGTGCAGTACTGCGCCTAAGATTTCAGATTAAAACTGCAGAGTGGAAGGAAAGGAGGACCTTTTCTGCCTCCCCACTTCCAGCTACTCTCTGAAGACCGGAGAACAGATCTTCTTACAAATATTGGGGGGGGGGGGGCAGGGGAAGGACTGTACCGTGTTAAAAATTAACATATTTTAGCTGCAGTTCATTCATTTTCAGCTTTGTATTCTTGTTCTTAAAAAAGTGTGCCTAGGTATTCCGTTGTTGCGCCCATAACCTAGGTTTAAGGTGCCATTTAGCTTCTGGTTTTCATATCTCAGTTTCTAACACTTGCCGGGGGGGGGGGGGGTAAGAGTGGTGCTTGGCAAGGTAGATGGGGTCAGCAACACAAGCACAGACACAGCCCTTTATCTTAAATAGAGAGAGGGAGGGAGGGAAAGATGATCAATTTTGCATGATGAAGAAAGCCAAAGGTGACAAAAGATGGCATTGTGTGAGCAGGGACTCCTTTGGTTTGTTTTAGTATACAGTATTTTTATTCTGCCTATTATACACATCTTAAATGCAAAACAACTTATACTTGTAATTACATTTTAATAGAAAAAGACAAGACTGAAGTTGTTGGTCTTCCTGTCACTTCAAAATTTACAAGTTAAGCTGTAAGTTTTAGATCAAACAGATTTCTTTCTACAGTCCACCCCATTCCTACCCCACATATGATTCCTTCCACAAATAGGAGGGGTGAAATAGAACTGTGCTAGATTTTATTTTAAAAGACAACCAAAACCACCACAGAGTTACATTTCATGTGCCTGAGTAAAAACTAAATGGTTCCTGACTCAATACAACCTCTGGAAATTAACAGATTGGACAGAAAGCATGCGATTGAATGTAGTGCAAGGAGTGACAGTCCAAACATACACAAAATAATGGAAGTTTCCTCCATGAATTTACTCAGCCACTACTAAAGCCTCCATGCCATTATATCTCTCAAATGTAATAAAGACTGAATATTAAAGTATAGGGTATCTAGTGATGGAAAAATATGAGACAGGCCATGTTTTGTCATTTGATCACTTAATGTAAGAAAACAAGCACATTAAATGTCCGACAGTCTCAGCCTTGTACATGTTTATTTAGAAGGCTCACTCCCAAGCGAGCATGCAGAAATTGCAGTCTAGTGCTGCAGCTTGATGATTTCTGTAGGGAAACAATATCAACTTTCAGCTTGTCACGATGGTGGTAGTGGCCCACCATCTTAAATTAAACTCGGTCAGCCAAATTTAATCATGAAAACAAGTTGTGGAATTAAGTTTCAGATCTACTGCCCTGGTTTGCAAATAATGGCTTGCTAGAGCTCTAGTTTATTTCCTCACAGTGTGGCAAATGGCGGAGGGGACAGGTGCAATGTTAGCAGTGTGCACCAGGATGCTTCCTCACTTCTGGTAAACCATAGTTTGCATAATTCTTGGCAGTAATTCCTGGAAGGGCGGAACCCTGACTGACTCAAGCTACAAAAGTTGTGGATGCTGAAGAGACCAGGGAACATCTTGGCTGTCTCTTAGGGCAGACCCAGGTCACTGAGCCTATGCTTCCACAGCCAAGAACTACCATTGGCAGGACTGGTAGCAAAAGCAGCAAATATGTTCTGTGCTTATGATAATACTTTATTCTTAGTTATGATATTTAACATTTGCATTTTACATTTGACTTCCTTTGGTAATGTTTTATTCTGAAAGCATCAAGATAATATTTTAGTTTCCGGCAAATTATGTTGCTTTGAATGTACTATACATTATTTGTCTTTCTTTGGTAATGTTTTATTCTGGTCTGTTTTAGTTGATGTTCTAATATGCTGTAAACAACTTTGAGATTTTTTCTTAAAAATATAAAGCAGCAGAGAAATGAAATGAATACTAATAATTATGGCTTGTCATTACATGCCTATCAGGCCACTGAATGACTCAGGAAATTCTCACAAATAATTTCTGTATACTGTGTCAAATTCTGTACTTCTTTTCCTATACTTTCATAGGCTACAATCTGAATATTGTTTCCAACTCTCTAAAAGAAAGAAAAAACGTTACATATATTTCATCCAGGCTGCTCTATCTGGTCCTTAGACTTGGCACATGCCACATCCTCCTCCCTTCTAATTAAGATGAAGAATAAAAGTAAAGAGAAGGAATGCAAAGGAAGAAGCACTGTAACAATGACTTCAATTAGACTTGCATAGACTGTGCCCTAAAATAGTTGATCATGGAATCAACTGGAGGGGCAAGAAAGCTTCCTTCAGAAAGTGGAAGTCTTGCTCAAATAAGGAAAACAAAAAGGAACACAAACTTAGGCAAAATAAATACAAGCAGACAATAAGGGATGAAAAACAAATGAGTGCACTGCTAAAAACCATCAAGAATAAAATCTTTAAGTACATTAGAAGCAGGAAACCAGATAGGGAAATGGTTGAACCTCTGGACAACAAGGAAGTCAAAGGTGTGCTAGAAGAAGAGAATACTGCAGAGAAATTGAATGAATTATTTGCATCCATCTTCACAGTGAATGACATAAGGCAGATCTCTGTGCCTAAACAAACCTTTTCAGGAAGGGAGTCTGAGGAATGGAGGCAAATAGTGGTGAGAGAGTTTTAGGCCTTAATGACATGTTAAAAATGGACAATTCTCTGGGTCCAGACAGCAACCGCTCAAGAATTCTTACAGAACTCACATGTGAAATATTTAATGACTGGAAAGCAATGAACAGAGGCTTTGATTAACACTGACTATATAAGCAGGCCTGGTATTATCTCAAGCATGCACAGATGGGTAGAAGTTCCTTGGCAATTCTGGATAACTTACAGAGCATAAACTGCATGCATTTCTGAGTGTCAACATTATATTTGAAACTATTACAAAATCTCCATTCACAGTTTTGATTTTATGAACAGATTTTATGAACAAGAGAAACTAGTTTTATGAAAGCGATTGTTCCCTGAACTACAGTAAACCTGCAAATTACGTGGGGGTTACTTTCCAGGGATCACACCTTAAACCCTGAATCACGTACAGTCAAAACTCAACGGGTTCAATGGCAGGTGGGATTGCCAAAACTATTTCCCCCATAACCCCACCCCCTTTCTGCCCCTTCTTATTAATGTAAATTTTTGTCATGTGTGTAAAGCTGAATGTGCACAAGTTAAATGTGTATAAGTTGTGGGCCTGCTATAAACGGGTTAATTAAACTATCGATGGCATTTTAAACTGGGGGGGTATTGTTTTTGTTTGTTATTATGTTGTGCATTTTTACTGTATTTTTCGCTCTATAAGACGCACCAGACCACAAGACGCACCTAGTTTTTGGAGGAGGAAAACAAGAAAAAAAATATTCTGAATCCCAGAAGCCAGAACAGCAAGAGGGATCGCTGCGCAGCAAAAGCAGCGCTCCCTCTTGCTGTTCTGGCTTCTGGGATAGCTGCGCAGCCTGCATTCGCTCCATAAGACGCACACACATTTCCCCTTACTTTTTAGGAGGGAAAAAGTGAGTCTTATAGAGCAAAAAATACGGTATATTGTAAACTGTCCTGTGATCGTCAAATGAATGGTGGATTAGAAATTTAATAAATAATAATACAACGTCAATATTGCCACATTCTAGGGGCCTGGAAAAACCGATGCAGGAGGAATTACCTCTGCCCAACCCACACAACTGCTTCCTACAGAAGTTACCAACATGGGAAACAAGCATACGGAAATATTACCCCCACTGCTCAAGTATCTTATCAATAGATGCTGTTTAGATAGGGAGCTGGCAGTTAGGTGATCTGCCTCCAGGGATTAACCTGTTTAGTCTTTTGATCCTCCATACTCTATGGTTTCACAATACGGAATTACAATAACAAGTAATGCTAGTAATACATGACAGTGCAGTGGTACCTCAGAAGTCGAACGGATTCTGTTCCAGAAGTCTGTTTGGCTTCCAAAACGTTTGGAAACCAAGCTGCGGCTTCTGATTGGCTGTAGGAAGCTCTTGCAGCCAATCGGAAGCCATGTAGGACATTTGGACATTCGCAAACTAAACGTTCGACTCACAAGGCATTCGGGATCCAAGGTATGACTGTACTATGATACTGGACAGGCTATAAAATACATTTTAAAAAATAAATCCTATTTAAAGGGAGAATTTGGACTTGATACCCCCCTTTCACTCCTCTTAAGGAGTCTCAAAGCGGCTAACAATCTCCTTTCCCTTCCTCCCCCACAACAAACACGCTGTGAGGTGAGTGAGGCTGAGAGACTTCAGAGAAGTGTGACTAGCCCAAGATGCATGTGGAGGAGAGGGGATGCAAACCCAGTTCACCAGATTACGAGTCCACCACTCTTAACCACTACACCACGCTGGCTCATTTAAATACTGCCAGTCTGAGGAAAATGGATGGCAATAATCTTCTGCTTTTTATTTTTACAGCTTTGAAAGCAGATATGATTAGGTTTCCATTATGAAGTAGGTAAGTATGCATATTAATAAATAAATATAGTTACATCTTGTTGAATTACTTAATGATTATTCTGCCTGTAGTAGCAACTGTAATGCATTATGTTAGATGCTGTATAATTTTTAATTGCATTTTTATCTAAGGAATTTAAATTGTAATGCAATAAAACACAATACAAGAAATAAAAGGCAATAAAAACACAATTAAAATCATTATAAATATTTAATGCGGACATGCCACAGACAACCTGAATGAAGCTTGTGAACTACTGGTGGTCCACAGACCACACTTTGGAAAACCCTGCTGTAGTCTGAATTCTTACTTAACACTCAAGTAAGAACTATATATAAGCACAAGAACGATTTCAGAAGCTACGAAGAAAGCAACAAATTAGAACTGTAATTCCGCATGCCCTTAATTGGAACCAAGTGGATCTTTCTTCCAAGTAAATATGCACAAGATGAATCTGCAAGAATCTTAAGACTGACCACAACCTCATTGCTTTTTTATAGATGTATATGCTTACGATTCATGGAATGTAGCAGCTGAAAGTACGAGCTGAAAAACAGGAAAACCCAGGTTTTGGTTGGCCTTGGCAATCTACTTTTGTCCAAGCCTCAAGCCCTCAACTGCAATATGGAAGCAAATATATTGGTCATGAAGCACTGTAAAGCTCTTCAAACAAGCAGTACTCTGTAATGAACTCCTCTATTGCATAGTAATGCATTATATTACTATGATTATTTGATTTGGTTTTGATTTTATTTCTTGCATTTCTATGCCACTTTCCATCCAAATGAATCCCAAAGTGGCTTACAAGAAACGAATAACAATAACAGAACAGAGTATCACAAGTCCTGTGTTAAGTCATATTATATGGTTATCAAATCAAAAAGGCATTTATAATCTATAAAACAATATTAACAAAATAGCAACAAAAAATAAGCTAAACACTATTAAGTTTATAAGCCCTACCCCAGTGACTCATAATCTTTCCCTCTATTCAGTTTATTAAAGTACGTATACACATCCATCATACAGAAGGACCTGGATCTAAAAGAAATACCTACAACAGAGCAATACTTTTAACTTATTAAGTTAAACCTGAGACCCAACCAGTGATATTCAAGGCTGTCACCAACAACCGCATGATACAACCATCTCCATGTCCTTGGATTTATTCAGCTCCTGCTCACAGGGCCTTACTTATAAAGCCCCATCACTCCACCTGGCATTTTACAAAGTTTCATTACAGTGGTGCCTCGCAAGACGAAATTAATCCGTTCCGCGAGTCTCTTCGTCTAGCGGTTTTTTCGTCTTGCGAAGCAACCCTATTAGCGGCTTAGCGGATTAGCGCTATTAGCGATTTAGCGGCTATTAAAGGCTTAGCGGCTTAGCGGCTAAAAGGCTATTAGCGGCTTAGAAAAAGGGGGGGGAAAGCGAAAAAAATTGCAAGACTCGCAAGACTTTTTCGTTTTGCGAAGCAAGCCCATAGGGAAATTCGTCTTGTGAAGCACATCGAAAAACGGAAAACGCTTTCGTCTAGCGGGGTTTTCGTCTTGCGAGGCATTCGTCTTGCGGGGCACCACTGTATCTTCTCTCTGACCCCCAGCGCCAAAGTTCCCTGCCCCAAAGAGCATACAATCCCAATTTTTTACAGTGGGGGGGGAGGCCGACAGCCAATGAAGGGGTGACAGTAAAGGTGTAATTTATCAATCTTTAGTTAGTAAAAAGAATGAAAGGAAATGGCTTTTCAGAGGAGATAATTTTAAGATGGGTGTCCTGAAGTCAGATGAAGGGAGAGTCTCCACCTTCGCCTCCAAGCTCTGCACCCTCAATCTCCAATGTGGGTTTAATGAAGAAGAAAAATCTCAATTCACTGATAAACAGGACTAGGGGTATATGAAGCCAGGGGGACAGCTGCCGAATCAAGTAAATAAATAAAAAACACTTAACTAAAAGTATACATTGTAGAAAAATTATGACATATTTTTGAGCACTTGGGGTCAAAAGAATGTAATTCAAAACAACTGTTGTCGAGACATTTCATTCCGAATCTGCTACAGAGCCAGGCAGAGAATGCTGACAGGGAGGTATGCTGTCTGCCTAACATAAATCCTGGCTACACTCATGCTAGGGGGAAAGATTAAGTCTGTCCTTGTTTCGTTGTGTTTTTGTACCACGACAGGACAGGTGAAAAAGGAAGGCTGTAAACTTGCAGAGATCGCCATTCCATACATTCCTAAGGTAAAGGGATCCCTGACCATTAGGTCCAGTCGTGACCGACTCTGGGGTTGCGGCGCTCATCTCGCTTTATTGTCCAAGGGAGCCGGCGTACAGCTTCCAGGTCATGTGGCCAGCATGACTAAGCAGGTTCTGGCGAACCAGAGGAGCGCACGGAAACGCCGTTTACCTTCCCGCTGAAGCGGTACCTATTTATCTACTTGCACTTTGATGTGCTTTGGAACTGCTAGGTTGGCAGGAGCAGGGACCGAGCAACGGGGGCTCACCCCGTCGCAGGGATTCGAACCACCGACCTTCTGATCGGCAAGTCCTAGGCTCTGTGGTTTAACCCACAGCGCCACCTGGACGCAAATCCCACCAGGTAAGCAGCCCCGCAAGCCCCACGCGGACGAGGCCATTATGGGGTTAATTCTGTGCGTAGATCAGCTTCGAGAATACCACCTAAAGGACTCTTAGCCCAACTGAAGAGACGGTGAAGTTGCTGAGGCTTTTTCGCCTGGCGAGGGGAGGCGCTAGCAAGGCCTCGGCTATCCTTCTGAAGCGGCGGGCGCCTCCCCCCCCCCCCCGAGCCGCTGTCGCTGTGCCCACACCTCACCCCGGGTCTGCCCGTATCGCGCCCTCCCCTTCTCACCCCTGCCAAGCCAACACACACGGCGGCCGGGCGGCCGGCAAGTTACCTTCCCAAGTGACATCGTACATATCCGAGACCTTCGCCATCTTGCCGGGCTCCCCTCACGCCTCCCCTGCGCCACGTGACCGCCTGGAGCCCCGCCCTGGCCCCCGCCCCGAGCTCCACCGCTGACAGATCCGAACCTGATTGGTTGGGGGGCGGGGCTCGCGCGCGGAGGGCGGGGAAAGCGAGCGAACTTCTTCGCGTCAGGTTGGCCTTAAAAGCGCCTTTCGCTCTCGGTCTCCAGTTCGCTGAGGCGGACGACCTGGGTGAAGGGTGTGGTTCATACGCGGCTTTCAATCCAGGGGTTTAGAAATCGTTTTATTTAGCTGCTTGCTTCCTTAGGATGTGTTTATTAAAAAAAAAAAAAAGGGTGGGGGGAGATTCCCACAGCCACTTACGTACAGATACTTTAAAAGGTGGGGGGTAATATATTCCCTGCCCTCAGGTTTACAGTGTAAAAGACAAGGCACGCCACGTTACCTCATAAAGGAAAAGCACATTCACAAGAGACCGCCCAGCGAATTAGATGTTACAACATGAAGTAATGGCTGTCCCCCCCCCCCCGCCTTTTATTTCATATTATTTTATTCCATATTTCTTATTGGATTGCTATAACAAAGTCCTGAGATGGGAAAAAGAAAAAGACATGCAAGGGAAAGGGAGAGAAGAGGGAGGGGGGAATTCTTAATTTAATTTGCTATGTGAAATTATTAATTTAATTTACTATGTGGAAAATATTTTTCCCCTCCCAAAAGCAGCACAGACTTTTTTCTTTTAACCTTTGGGGCTTTTTGCCTCTTTGGTGCTCACTCTTAACTGCGTTTTCTTTTGTACACGTGTGTATTATTTATCTCCCATCTTTCTTCACCCAAAGATGGACACCAAAGGGCTCACAAGAATCACGGAAACAGCAAACCACAGTAGTAAGCCCAAGACACAGTAGTAAGCCCAAATACAAGACACACCCAATGTCATGTAGTATAGAAGTAGTGGGAAATGGCATACAGGAGAGGAACATCAAGGTTGTTTGGAAGGCGCGTGACTTTATCCTCAAAAGTGCTGTGCAAACGTGTCGCAGTGGACCTTCAAGGCTTTTCTGGTGTGCCCTCCACAGAAAACTATCTCCAGACCTCCCTGGAGGGCAGTGCTCCCCCTGCACAGGGCACAAACCCAAAGGGGTGCAATGCGCAAAACAGAAGGAAAGAGGGAGGAAGCTGACAAATTTTGCCCTTGCCCAGGGCACAGTATTACCAAAGTTTGCCCCTGCTGGAGGGTTCAAGGATGCAACAGAGGCAGCAAAGTATGCCTATTTTGCTGCCCTCATTGCCACACTGTAGTCCTGATGATGGAGTATTGTAGAGGCTACCATGTCCACCCATGTCCACCCGCCCATTGTATGCAGATATATGGACCTACATAACTAATTATGACAGAGCACAGTTGTCTTATCACCCTTTCATGGTGTCCTCACATCAAAGCCTACTGTATAGATGTTCATACTGGTACTTTTTGACACATACATATGTACCCCCGCTGTGATTCTTTATTCTTCCGTATTCCTTGATCCTGGTTGGCAAGTAAAACCTGTGCCACAAAAGTACAGGATTTCCAGCATTTTAACTGATTCCATAGCAAATTATGTGAAAAAGCAGTGATTTCATACTTGAAAGAAACTCGCACATGTGTTTTCATCAACATCTCGCATAGGCATTTAAGTCCCATTGTAAAATCTCAGGCTCCTTAACATAACTTTTTGCTGTCTTTTACACATGCAATGAGCACATGATTCCTCCCAAACTTTTTTAATGGTGCAGTAATGCCCACTGCATAATCTCGCACACATATATTTCAGTCTTCCTCATATAATACATCACAAAATAGGACGCATGATTGGGAAAAATTTTATTATAACTTCCACGCCCCATTCCAAAACCCACCAAACCTCCATAGTCATCCACATACACTGGGTAGTAACTGCTGTGGTAAATTGTTCAAACTTAGAAGCATCTTTCGTTGTCCTTATACTTTCTGGAATCCTTCGCACTGTTTCACACACATACTCGTATAGAAATCCATGGTAACTGCAAGAAGCAAGAAGGCTGATTCACAAAAGCATGTTTCAAACTTTTCCTATTTATTTTTCACTCCAGGGTAATATTGAGGTGGTGCAGCCTTCAGTTGGGCACCCACTTTTACAGTGCCCAGCTAAATAGGGAACGGAGCCTGTGGTTATGGCAATGTGCACCTCACCAAGCAATTATTACAGTTTAATAAAGGATTCCCACCACCACAGAATCAGCCTTCAGGTAAGATTTGAACTGTCAATGAGGTAACCAGATTCAGTGGATTACACTGCTACTAGGTTTTAGGGCTGTTCCACATTTTAGGCATAATTGCTGCAGATGCATTTTAGGCATAATTGCTGCAGATTGCTGCAGGTGTTTTCTGTAGTATTCATGCGGGTGGTGTGACATTTCCATCACACAATTTCATCTAGGTTTTAAATGTGAGGTGGACAACCTGTGCTTAGGGCTAAGTAGCTATGGGTTTAAAAAACAAAACTTTGGCATGGTATGTGAGCTTAAACGTGTCAGCTCAGAACTAAGCCCAATGAGTTCAGTTGAACTTACTCTGCGGTAGGTGTGCATAGGATTGATCCTTAATGATTTATCTACAGATCTTACACCATTTGTCTATGATGGGTAGGGGTTATAACACCACCACAAAATGTCACAATATGGACTTTGTTTTATTGAGCCTTGGTTGTACACACCAGTTTGAAAGTTTGAGAGAGACTGTATTTGGCATGGACAATATAGCACTGGCATAGGTTTCTTCCTCAGTGGAAAAAGGAACCAGATTGTGACTTCATTAATTAACCACTTCCATATGAAGGCTCATTTCCCAGAGAACCAGACGGAGTCCATGCAATTCATGGCTCTCAAAACTTGTAGTCATCTTGCAGTTGATGCTGCCAAGACTGAGTAGAGAAATTGGGGGTGGGAGAGTACTGGTATTATTTCTGAACTCTCCATCTCTTCCCAGTGAACCTTATTTATAATATAAGGAGGGAAGAAAAGGAAAGGAAAGGTGTGTGAGCAACCTGTGATTTTATTCACACAATGCTGTATTTTTTAAAAAATGTGATACTTATACAGTGGCTAATAAAATCAGTGCAGTGACCTTTTAAGGAGATTTAAGAGCAGTTAACTGTTCTGGAGAGTGCCTGAATACATGCTGAGATCACAAATGACCACATCCTGGCACCAGAGTGACTTTTTAAAGACATTCTAGTATGTGCTGTTCATGCGTTTAAAGTTATTGGGAGCTTCTGCACTCTACATTAGACCTGAAATTTGCACACATTTGCTCAACAGAGAAACACAACTACTGCAAACTCCACTGTGATTAAGGGTCATCCCAGTTACACACGGGTTTTGAGAGATGGAGTCTTATTTTTAGCAGGGTCAAAAAGAGGGAGTGAATTCAAGACTGCAATCTTGCGCACATAGTCCCATCACACTCAATGGACCTTGTGAGTAAGATAGCACTGTAAATCACACACCAGGCAGTTATAATGGTCAGGGATAACTGCAAAAGATAAGGAGGCATTTTATCTTCAAACCATTTGAATGGGCTTCCTTGATTGGAAGTTGCTTTTCTAGGATTCCAGAAAATTCCTTCAAAATGGGGCATTGCTAGGTACATGAGACACAATAGTTCTAGAGCTCAGTCTCTCTCTCTCTCTCTCTCTCTCTCTCTCTCACACACACACACACACACACACACACATGTAACCTGCTTCCCATCCTTTGTACTGGAAATCCTTTAACTAGAAAGGCCAGAGGTTGAGTCTGAGACATAATGAATGCAAACCATGCATTCTACCACTGAATTCTGGCCATATGGTTAAGGACCAGCTTCACTGGAAATATTTTTTTTTAAAGGGGGGGGAGCTCTATTCAAGATCAAATTGGAGTCTAGGCCCTGGCCAGTGACCACTTAACCTAGGCAGCTTTGCAAGAGAAAATGAATTCCATCTTCAGAGGGGTGGGGGGACCAACAATTTTCAGCCAGGAGATGATTTTGTTAGAGCACATACCTGAAACAGACTTGCAAGCAAGCTTGATTCTATTTAAAAAGTTGGCAACAAACCCTTGTAAAATTCAAGGCCATGCATTCCAAACATATACTAAGGAACACCTGTGAGCTCTGCTTTGGGACAAGGAGGTTAATGTGTTAGTGTAAGTCGATTTGTGGCCAAAAACTTAAAATCCGTTACTTGTGCAAAACATTCTGTCAAACTGAAGGACATGAGCAAGGAAGGCAGTGATGTTTTAGGGAATGTTGTCGCAGACTGGAAAGTAAACTAGTCATTTAACCAAAATTCAGTTAGCTTTCCTTTTATTTCATCCACCATTCCCGCAGGCCTGAAGAGTCCTTCAAAAGATGGCTTGGAGCATAAATGATGTCATGTGACTCCCCGCCTCCACTCTCTACCCCAGCACAAGGAGAACTATGACGTATGAGATTTCGAAACAGACTGACACGAGAGGCCAAAGAACAGATGGAAGCCTTAAGTTCTCAGGGTTGGCCCAAGAAATTTTGTTGCCTGAGGCAAAGGACAAGATGACTGCCACCCCTTCAAAGCACAGAAACTGCCTGGGTGGGCAGCTGAATCTTAGAAGACTCAGGGCAGGCAGTGTGGCACACAGAACTCTGTACTTCAGTACCTTGCCACCACTCCCTGCCTGCTCCACAGTGCCTATGGGCAGGGCCGGCCCTGTAAGTTCTGCACCACTAGCACTCTAGTTCTCCAGCAGCAACAGAGCAGACTCAGCTCCATAGGCCCAGCCTGACTAGTGTCAAGTGACTCCGCAGGGCTATCCAGACCAGACCCTAGAAAGTCCCGACAAAGGGAAAGGAAAAACAGCAGAGTCTTGCGGCAGACTAGATTTATTGTGGCACAACATTTCATGGATTAAGTCAGCTGCAGCACATGAAGGGGTGGCAGAACCATAGCTACAGGTGAGCTAGCAGGGATTTTGCCCCTGGTGAAGCCTCCATTGAAGGGCACCATTGAGGCTGTATGCAAATGTGGTGTGTGGGTGTGTGGATGTGTGGCAAAGTGAGTCTTTGACCCGGGTGAAGTAAAGCCTCATACAGTGTAATATGTCATGTGTTGTTGTTCATCAGATGTTATATTTACCTAATTTTAAGACCTGCTAAGGAACAGATGATTGTTATCTGTCCTGATGTGTAAAACAACACAACTCAAAAGAGGGTGTTTTCTTTTTCCCATGACTGTGTTGAGGTGGAATTCCAAGGTAACTCTAGACAGGGAGGAGGATGGGGACAAAACTAGGATAAGTTGGCTTTGCCTGTCACTGGCTGTCAGGGACAGTGCTGAGGAGGGCTGCACTGAGGAGGAATGGTGGGAGCCTCCCACTGCTCCTGATCAGGATCCTGAATCTTCCCAGGAGCAGGAGGACAAGTATAGATTTGGTTTGAAGAAGGGCATAGTTCAGAAGGCAGAAGCTGGGAAACACAGGATGGGAAACAGCTAGGAGAAGAAGCACTGGGAGAGGGAGAGTTAACAGATTCACTGTCTCCAGAAAGCATTCCTCCACCAGAAGAGCTGATTAAGGTGGCAGGACAGAAAGCACAGAGATTACGAACTCAGGTTACAAGATGCAGTGGTGACCTGGGTGACTAAGGAGGAAGTGGGTGGAACTCTTAATTGGGAGCACTGCCATTCCTAGGAAATGGTTTCTTTGTTCTCTCGCTGTGATCATTAAAGTTTCTAACTGGTAAGAAGACTCCTTTTCCTTTGTTCTGCTTATCTACTGCCCCGGGGGCAGGGGGGAGCCGATTCCCTGAAGCCTGACAATGGTCATACCTTCTATTGGTCTTCCTGCCTCCCTACCAATCCCAACGGCCACCAGTCACCATTGGAAACAGACTCCAGCTGCTGTGCTTGTTTTCAAGCTTGGCCAAGGCCTAACAACAGCACATGGCCAGTTTTCTATTTCTACTCTGCCGAATCTCTGAAATCTGTAGCTGCTTGTCGATGATGGATTGACTACATAAACTCAAACTCTTCTCAAACTCCATAAAATAACCAAACTTGAAGGTGTTTTAGCTAAAACGTCTCCACAGTCTGGGAGGACTGTGTGCTAGTCTTGGCTCAAGCAAGCTCTTTAAGTCAGAAGCCTTCGCTTTGCAGTTTGACTATTCATCTCCTGGCTTCTAAAACTGAAGCCACAGATGGAAATTTTAACTAGGGAGAAGCAAGGTTTTTGTGCAAAAAAACAAAACACGAACAAACCCTTAAGAAAAACAGGATTTGGCTAGTGAATGTCATGTAGTGTTAGTTTTACAGCTAAAAGGACAACACAATAGACAGATCTAGCAATATATATATATATATATAGTGGATTTGACATAGAGTCTTAATTAAATATATTCAGTTAAATACCATCTTACTATTATTATTATTATTATTATTATTATTATTATTATTATTTAATTGAACACCATATTTATATACAGGCGGAGTAGGGAAGAGAATCTCTATTGTGATAACATATGGGATAGAACCCAAGAGAGACCTATTGAGTCATACAACCATATAGCTTTAAGAGAGCTCTGTAGTCATATAGGTCAAGCTGCCTTTTGCCATATCTTCCTGAAGGTTTCTATTAATGAATTAGCTCTTTAGATTGAAGTATGGGGCCTGCCCATAAACACGGCACACTTCCAAGAGTAAATGCACTTTTGTGCAGAACCTCTGTGCTGTATGATATAACTTCCACTCCCTGGTAGTGTGATTTTCCAAATGTGTCTTGCATTTGATAATCTGATATCACTGGTGCAAGAAGAGCAGTTGACCTAGAGCAGATGTCCATAAATGTTAAGCACGCTTGAAGAAAATCAAATGGACCACACCACACCTTTTGCTCATGATCAAATAACACCATTAACCTGTGGTTTTGAGAGATGTTGTCTAACAACAGTGTCGTTGCTTGGCAAACTTGAATGTTTTGTGACTTTTCATTTGTAGCTTATTACTTTTGTACCGTGTCCCACCTCCAATAAGCTCAGTGCAGCATACATGGAAATTTTGTACTTAAAACAACCTTGCGAGGGGATCAGGCTGAGTCAAAGTGATTGACCCAGAGTTCTATTCAAGTGTCCCTTTAGAAAGTTGGCCATCTGCCAGTCACAAGCCTCTTCCTATTGACTGCTATGACTTGTTATGATCTGGCAAACAATCGCTATGGAGAAGGTCCAGGACTGTATTCTCACTCAGTTTGCCTTAGGAAGAAATGTGTTAGATGTGCTGTTTGGACCTGAAATGATTCAGAAGTGAAAGCACCTCTGGATGAAGAAGACATACTCCCTCATTATGACTCTTTTTAGATGGTTCAACCCATAGGAGAAACGTGCTAAGAGGAAGGCACGCTTGGCAAATCCACACCGTGATCAACTTCCACCCGGAAACCAACGTCCCCACTGTGGAAGGATGTGTGGATCCAGAATTGGCCTCCACAGTCATTTACGGACTCACTGTTAGAACGGTGTTTATGGAAGACAATCTTACTCAGCTATGAGTGATCGCCGAAGAAGAAGAAGAAGAAGAAGAAGAAGAAGAAGAAGAACTACGATGAAGCTCTGTGTCTCACCCTTTATATAGCCAGCCAATTGCTGCGCTCTGGAAGAGAAGACCACCTGCAGATCCCATCCCATCAGGATGTCAGTTTCATACAATGTAGGAAATGAGCCCTTAGGCAAAAGACAAGATGGTGTCCTTACCCAAGGCACCTATGGAAGCCAGTTGGACTAGAAGTTGCATCTTACTCCAATGGTAGTGGAAGGCTAATATCTTCCACTGCACTGGAGGGCAGCAGGCTAGTGTAGGGGGTACCGAGTGGGTCTCATGGCACTCATAGCTCTATCCCCTCCCTGCCCCTCAACCTCATGCTGCCTTGTTCATTTTCTGCTTTGGAGAACAATGGTTCATCTTCTGCTGTGCAGAACAATGATCAAGGGGGGGGGGGGAGCCATGCCACACAATTGGTTGTGTGACTCAGTTCTCAGTTACAGGGTATCTTCCTAGTGATTATCTGGCAATTCCCACAACCCAAATTGCGTGGATTTCTACTGTTTATTAGTCAAAAGATTTATGCACACACTAGACTTACATAGAAACTATTTTTTGTTTCTGTGTATGCTGGAAGCTGCTCAGAGTAGCTGGGGCAACCCAGTCACATGGGCAGGGTAGAAATAATAAAATTATTATTATTATTATTATTATTATTATTATTATTATTAATTTATGTTTCTAGCATAATTTTTGAGAGAAGGTGTCAGGGAATGCTCAAAAAGTGACCATTCTCAGGGGGGAAAAAAATTGGACAAAACCAATGAGAGTTAAAAGTGGTATAGAACTGATGGATGATAGGCAGCTAACTCAAAGCTGACCCATATATTTGTAATATAAATTCATGGGGGGCCCATAGCTCAGTGGTAGAACACATGGTTTGTATACAAGTTCACACCCTCTAGTTTAAAGGATCAGATCACACCTGATAGAGAAGACCCCTGTTTTTAAGGTCAAATCCACAACATACATTTAAAGCACATTGCTTTCCTGAAAGAATCCTGAGAATTGTATTTTCTTAAGGGTGTTGGGGATGTAAATTACAGTTCTGAGGATTCCATGGGGGAAACAATGTGCTTTAAATATATGGTGTGAATGTGATAATAGATTTTGGAAAGCAGCTCCCTATGGCCTACATATACCCAAAGAGGAGAAAAGCAGGAATGTATTGAGATTGCAAATTTTATTCAACCCTAAAGCATAGCTGTAATGTATTGTGAAAAACTACAAAATAAAGGCCCTTTTTCAATTTATATGCCACAAAACCATATATACCACAATATAATACAAAAGAAAGACACACAAATGCACACACTTTTTAGATTCAAAATCTTCCAAGTTGTCGAAAACTGAGCTACCCCATGCAGCAAGAATCTCTCCTCTCCCCTTGTCTTCAGTATTTACCATTTCAAACTTCTGTGTGCAAAGTAATAGAGTGATCTCTGAAAATGTAAGTGGACGAATTATTTTGAAACCAGTCAAGGGAACTTCTTAACTGGAATGTTATCTCTTACTCTCTTTCTTTGAAGAGTCATCGACAGCTGGAGTTAAGTTAGCAGTCTTCTGACAAACTCTATAAGAACGAGTTCATGGTATAGCTCACATTCACTGGGGTATTGAAGAGCTCAACAGATAAAGACTTGTGTGGTTTGGTTCAAGCTGTGGTTACTGGACTGGATCCTGGTGTGAATAAAGATCAGGTTCAGATTTCTGTCGGCATGCTGAATTGCAAGCAGAATGCAATTTTATTTTGGCTTCAAACGAGAATCTTATTCGGGTGTAGCTGTGCAGCATTTTCATCCCATCTCATGGAATATAGCATAGTCTCTCTTATGTACAGGCATGGCTGATAAGCTTAAGTCACTTGTACCAAATTTTCTTAGCAGAAAATCTAGCACGTCAAGTTATTTATTTATTCATTTATTTATTTATTGAATAATGCCAAAATATGCTGCTAAGCATTAAATCAATTGCACAAGCATTCAGGTATAAGCATTCATAATTGAAATACACAATTAAAATACTTAAACAACCCTATAGGCAGAGACTATAAGTTATACCAGTGCAAAAACAAACAAACCAGATCAATAGAAAAGTTTAGGATTTGGATGCTTATAAGTGCAATCCAAACATGTGTATTTGGAAGTAATTCCATTGAGTTCAATCAGACGTATTCACAAGTAAGTATATACTGAATTGCACCCAGCATGTGCTGCTTTTACAACAAAACACCACATTTACATTGCTAATAATTTGGTTCCATTCTTCACAGTAGCCTTTTTAATAATTGGGATTTGCAGGGATGTTCCCCCAGTTCTCCAAAAACTGAAAAACTTCTTACTAGTTTGTTTTCTGTTATACTAGAAGCTCCTGTGTTTTCAAATATTGGTGACAATCTAATCCATTTGTCCAAATGGGGAAAGAGCTGGGAGGGCCTGCTTGCAACACATTAACACACCACACACATCAATGCACCTGAGAAACTTCTTTGTAACATTTCAAGTTCCTTTATACTTAGCAGCTCCTGATTATACCTATACAATGTAACATAGTATTAAGTTAAATAAACAAGAGGCATTGGTCTTTAAAATGAGGGGGTACTTTTTAAAATCTCAGCACAAGTTCAATTTCCTTTACCCTCCCCATAGCCTGACTAAACTACTGCCAGAGTCTTCTGTTGTGGCTTACCTCCCACTGAAGAGCCCTCCCAGGTAGATCAAGAAAGAAAGAAAGAAAGAAAGAAAGAAAGAAAGAAAGAAAGAAAGAAAGACTTACTGGTCTCCTAACAAGATTTGGTTACTCACTCTAAGAAAGTGCTGTCGACCGTCTGTCTTCTTAAGTGTTCCAGTGTTGAGAGTTCCACTGCTTGGGGTTCACTAGCAGTTTCTCAATCTGATGCTCCCAACTGAAATTAATCAACACCAAGTTAGATATTGCATGGCACTATCAACATGTGGGCATCCCTTCACATACTTTTGCTCTGCTTCAAGAGGAGCACAAGCCAATGGAACATGATTCATCCTGCAATGGTCTTGTGGTGATGCAGAGGTAGGCCTTTTCACAAATGGCAGAGGCATTATGAGATGCATTCCCTACTGTCATAAAAAAAAGGGGCCCATCTGTATTGGCATCCCACCGGCTTTTGAAGATGTATCCATCCACACAGGCATTCCCTTGATTTCTGAGCCCGTCTTCGGTTTCAATTTGCTGTGTTGTTTTAATTGGATTGCTTATGGCATATGAGTGTTTTAATGTTCGAATGGGATTGCTTTGTGTTGCATTTTAATTGTGGATGTTTTTATTTCAATGTTTATGTAGACTTGTAAAATGCTTAAAGGTAAAGGGACCCCTGACCATTAGGTCCAGTCGTGACCAACTCTGGGGTTACAGCGCTCATCTCGCTTTATTGGCCGAGGGAGCCACCGTACAGCTTCTGGGTCATGTGGCCAGCATGACTAAGCCGCTTCTGGCGAACCAGAGCAGCGCACGGAAATGCCATTTACCTTCCCGCTGGAGTGGTACCTATTTATCTACTTGCTCACCCCGTTGCGGGGATTCGAACCGCCGACCTTCTGATCGGCAAGTCCTAGGGTATCTTTGGCCTTAAGCGGTACGTATATAAATTAATAAACCATCAGCATCCAGGGAACATGTGTGCAACTAGGCTGACAGAAAGACTCCAGGCCACCCTGAAATGTCCTGGTGTAGCCAGGATCCTGCGACAACCAGTTGTGGCATCCCACTAACTCCCTGGCAGAACCATTACAGATTTAGATGTGACCTCAGAGGAGGACCCTAGTTACTTGCCAATGTTTCAATGGGGATTTCTACCAGTTATGTGAGTATAGGATTGCTTAGCTACAGTTTTTAGGTTTGTGGGAGAGGCAGATTCAAACAGGATCTAATTAAATATAATAGAGTTTGTATTTACGGCTTCCACCATTTTGAAGTTAAAGCAGGTGCCTTCTTTCTTACGAGAGTATTAGTAGCCACAGATTATCCTCCATGAATTTCTCTAACCATGATGGCTATGCTCCATATCCACTATTGGAGACAGAGGAGAATCCAATTGTGTTCAGGTCCTGCTTGCTGGTATTGTCAAGTGAATCTGTTTAACCATGGTAGGATCCTGAACTAGATGGGCCATGGTCCTGATACACCAGAGCTATTACTTTCTTGTGCAATAATTTGCACTCTTCATTCTATTTGGTGCTTGAGTGAATTTGTAAGAGCTTTAATTCTCAAAAAACAAAGTGTTTTAGAACGTTCCATAAATCCTTATTGTTTAATAAACGCAATGCCACACCATTTGTGTTGGAGAACAGTGTCCAAATGATATGAAAACAATATTAAATATGTGTGGACATTTACAGGAACCGAGGAAAGCTTCTTGACCATATAAGCCTAATTTTTAAATTGCAAGATGACATTCCAGGATGCATCATTGCGGTTTTTGAGACAGATGATGTCATTTGGCTGTTGGGTTTGCAGCTTGCACAACATCCAAGGGAAGTACTATCTCACCAGGAGACGTGTCTTGTAATGTCTTCCTCCTTAGACTTCATTGTAGCATTTGCCAGAAGAAAGTGTACTGCTGAGAAAAAGTGCTAGGTAGAAATAAATACAAATATTCTCTTGTTAGATACCCTTATCTGGTGTATACAGTTGCACTGCTGAACTCAAGAAGCTACATACCTCCATGCAACACAGCAGACTTAAATTACAAAAAAAAAAACAGTCAAAAGAAGCTCAAGAAAGTCACCTACTGGATTTTTTGGGATTAAAGGAGATATGCAGTATTTTTTTAGCAGATAGTTATATCATGTGCATGGCATACAGGCTAGTAGGTTCTTAGGCCTGGGAAAACATTGCATGCCTTATACCTTTCCCTGTTATGCCATTGCATTTTAAGCGCCTCATCACCAAGCGATGATAGCTTACATTCAAATACTTGATAGCCTGGAGATGTGACTCTAAGGAGCTTTCCAGGTGAGGGTTTGCTCACAAAGATGGAGTGGTGGCGGATGACCCAGCGATGTTTTTCACATTAGCATGTCCCTTGAGAGGTCATTCAGACATCCTTTGCCAAGCTAGGGCCTTGATTGCTAGGGGAATGTATTTCCGCAGCACCAGTCAGAGCCGTGCAATGGATGAATGGTTTTGCTTCATCAAGGAATGACAGGTGAATCTGCTGCAAGAAGAGCCATTATCAGCAAGTAAAAGAGAAGAAGAATTTAAAAAATGAACTGGCTTAGGAGCAACTGGGGAGAACTATAGTGAAGCCTACCAAACGTTCTCCTTTCCCATTCATATAGTGAATGAAGTGTTAGGTTATGAGATGTACACATAAGGAACAATCCCATGGTTCCTTGAGATCACTTGCAGCAATAATTCATTCTGAATACTGGATAGATGCTATAGGACTTGAACCCTGCTAGATCCTTCCTTCATGCAACACTGATTTCCCAGAGAACAGATAAGGCTGCTGCCTCTCACTGATCCCTGTCCTGACTATACTTTTAAGGGTGACTCTACACAGTATCTCTTGAGAGTCCCATGGACTGCAAGAAGATCAAACCTATCCATTCTTAAGGAAATCAGCCCTGAGTGCTCACTGGAAGGACAGATCGTGAAGCTGAGGCTCCAATACTTTGGCCACCTCATGAGAAGAGAAGACTCCCTGGAAAAGACCCTGATGTTGGGAAAGATTGAAGACACAAGAAGAAGGGGACGACAGAGGTCGAGATGGTTGGACAGTGTTCTTGAAGCTACCAGCATGAGTTTGACCAAACTGCGGGAGGCAGTGGAAGACAGACGTGCCTGGCGTGCTCTGGTCCATGGGGTCATGAAGAGTCGGACACGACTAAATGACTAAACAACAACAAACACAGTATCTCAGCGAAGGCATGTTCCCAAACCCATGCCTGACAGATCTTAAGCTGGTGTCAGCCCTGAAAAGGGGGCAGGATAGAGCCAGGACCAGAGATGGAGTGGGGGGGCGGAAATAGGCTGGATCCTAAGCCCATTTAGATCCATCACATGGCCTGGCAACCCCAGCGTGAGTTAAGCTGGCAAAAAGAGTGTATAACCCAAACACCATTTTAATAGCTTGTTTTCCCCCTGCCAGGCTTAGGCCAGCTCAACCAGAAGTATCCTTGCTCCTGAATGCACTTTGGATACGATGTACTTTATGGCAGCTTAACTTCTACTGAGTTTGCTTTATGCCAGCTTCTTGCCTATAGGACTGCCGCCTTACCTGGGAGCAAGCCCCACGATGCTCAGTGGGATTTATTTCTCAATAAACAAGGTTAACATTGCATTGAAAAATGTGTGAGGCGTAATGACTGACAACATGGTCTCCTTGCTAACCTCCAATAGGTGTGTGTGTGTGTGTGACAATACCATCTCCTTGTTAATCTCAATTAGGGGTGGGCGGGTGATGTATAATTCATAGAGGTGTAAAGTATACAAAGCTGCAGATGTGTGCAGGATAATTGCAAATGCCAGAATCTTTTAATTATATCATGTTGAGGCCAATGGAGTTGCAATTACCTCTCCCGTAAAATATGTATGTGTAATAATGGTTCAGTGTTCGGAATCAAAATGAAATGGCCACAATTAAACCACAGTCTTTCTGGAAACCATATAATATCTGGGTGTCCAATAAGCTCCAGACCACCCAACCTTCCATTGACTGTGGCTTCTCCAAGTTAAACCCCACCAGTTTCCAATAGTATAGAGCACTGGATATTTTAAGGCTCTTGTGAACAGGGCATAGCATAATATATTTTACATTAAAAGTAAAATATTACTTTAAGCATGAAAATAAAATTTAAAAAATTAAATCCTGATTTTGCCCATGTGTGCAGCAGATGAATTAAGGGTTTTGTAATAACAATTATTTGGTTAAAAAGTAGCCATTTATCTTCTATTTCACTTCTTACTTACAAGACCCAGTATATAAACAAAAGAGAGCTGGCTAAGCAAATCCAAATTTTCTTAGATTACTTTTCCCCCCTAAGCCACAGCTTTTCCTCAACTCAAAATAATCTCACACAAGTTATCCAGCTCGGCTGAAATATATAAATATAAATATCCTTTCATTTCTTGCTTCTGTAGAGTTCTGTAGAGCTACTGTAGAGTAGCTATTGCAAGATAACAAGAGATACCCAATCAAAGTGAGTATGCCAGCAGCAATGGCACTCTCTCACATCGGAAAATTTGATTACTGTAACATGCTTTGTGTGGGGCTGTCCTTGTATCTGGTCCAGAAGATGCAGCTAGTTCAGAATGCATCTGAGAAAGCTGAAATTGTTACCAGTTTTCTACCAGACCAGGTTCAAGGGTCTTGCATTAATTCACAAAGCCCTAAATAGCTTAGGTCCAGTGTACATTAAGGACCATTTGATGCCTTATGCTCTGCCTCGATCACTGAGCACTGCTTGTGGTTCCCAATGTCCCTGAGCTTCTGTTGGACTGATGCTTTAGTGTGGCAGGCCCTCCCTTGTGGAACTCCCTGCTGGTAGAGGTTCCGCAGGAATCACACCTGCCTTCTTTTAGACGTCTCCTAAAAACCGTGCTATTGAGACAGGCCTTTCTCAAAACACATAGAGTAGTATTCAACTAACCTGTCCGGTCCTCTCAAAAGTTTCCACTCGCACAATGGGACCTCTTCCACCATCCTCCCAACATCTGCTTTGGAGGTTTGGGGGCACATTTAGGAGGGGCAGGTGGGAAACATTCTGTAGCGCAAGCAGAAATGCTTGCGCCGATGGAATGTTCACTTAGCGCTAGGCTGGATTCCACACATAAAAAGCACTCAAGCAAGCAAATTCCCCTCAAATAGCCCTGAAATTTGGGAAATCTCCCCGGTGACCTTGTTTGCCAGTCCTGCTCGTGGATCTCAGCAAGATGTCTGCAAATGTTCTGCTCCGATGCAACATGCATTCCCCCCATGTATTCCTGCGTGGGACTCCTTCCAGAACACACGCACAGAGGGAAACCATTATTCTGGAACCAGCCCTGAATACGTTTCTGTTGCTTTCCAGCTCCCATTAATGGAGGAGAAAGAACAGGACAATCTGTACAAAAATATTAAGGTTGGTTATATAGATCTATTTTCCCCCAGTCTTAGAAATATTTCAAATATTGAATTGGCAGGCGTTATGTGTGAATAGAAGACTAATGGGATTGTAATGTTATAGATACCAAGTAAGTGAAATCTGATCAGCTGTGATATGTATCACCATATATATCTTTCAAAACCTACTTTGGTCCTCATCATTGAAAAGCTGGAGTTGTGACCTTTTCCTGTTGCTTTCCATTGTTTTCTCCTTCGGCAGGTCAGCTTTGAGCAACTGAGCTATCCCCATAAAGCAGCCTTCATCAAAGTGGTGCCCTATTTATGTTTGGACTGTCATTCCGGCTGGGGCTGATGGGAATTGTCATCCAACAAACATATGAGGGGCACCAGGTTGCTGAAAGCTGCCTTATCTTCAGCTATGCCTCCCTAACACACACTGCCATTGGCAACACATGCCTGTGACCTTGATAAAAGAGCTGTTCAGGCAGAGCCTTAGTCCCTGGTGAACTCCTCTTGCAGGATCAGGCCTTAATTACTGCAAATCCCTTCCAGCAGTCCCCAAAGATAAACTGGATTTTTCCACTGCCAATGTCAGCTGTGCTAGATGTTACCTATACTGTGCGTTCCTAGCTCTAAAACAGCTGTCAGATGTGTGTGCCAAGCTCCTAGCCACAATAGGATTTAGAAAGTAATACTCAAGATACCTATCTATCTGGTAGAATACCAGCATTCTTACTTTGTCAACAGGTCTGCTAGCATTGGCCCAATAAATTTTGCTGCCTGGGCTAAAAGACAAGAGATCATGCCCTTGTTTCATGTACTGGACCGGGAATAGATCATTATTTTAACATTGGTGGTGGGGCAGTGCCCTCTACTGCAGTGCTCATCAACCTTGGGTCCCAAGACATTGTCAGACTACAATGCCCATCATCACCTGCCAGTTTAGCCAGTAGTCAGGGATGATGGGCGTTGCAGTCCAACAACGTCTGGGGAGCCAAGATTGAAGAACATTGCTCTACTGCACCGGAGAGTAGGAGACTATCTTAGGGGGCACTTCCCAGGCTCCAGCAGCAACCACTTGTTGCATTCCCTAACATCTCCCACCTGATACACCTGCCTCACTCTGTTATATAACCGTGGCAGGGTCTAAGAAGAGGCAAACATTGTTTCATTACCTTTTTACTACAAAAAATAAAGGTAAAGGACCCCTGGGTGGGTAGGTCCAGACTGTGGGGTTGCAGCGCTCATCTTGCTTTCAGGCCGAGGGAGCCAGCATTTGTTCACAGACAGCTTTCTAGGTCATGTGGCCAGTATGACTAAACCGCTTCTGGTGCAACGGAACACCATGACATAAGCCAGAGTGCGTGGAAAGCCGTTTACCTTCCCACCACAGCAGTACCTATTTATCTATTTGCACTGGCGTGCTTTTGAACTGCTAGGTTGGCAGGAGCTGGGACAGAGCAATGGGAGCTCACTCTGTTGCGGGGATTCGAACCGCCGACCCAAGAGGCTCAGTGGTTTAGACCACAGCGCCACCCGCGTCCCCTCCTTTTACTTTACCTTTGCATTTTCACTGTAACCATGGGCTCTGTATGATTTTGGGCAGTTATAGACATTGGTAAAGGAGGTGGAGATGGGAATAAAACCAACTGCCAGTGGCTCTGGGGTGGCCACATTACAAAAAAAGAGGGCAAAATGAGATGCAGATTTGCATGTGCTAATTTATATGAATAGGTGCAATTTTGAAATGATTACTATAATTTAAACAGCGTGGAAGACTGTGAGCACATGATGTGTAACTCTAAAATTTCTCTGTAGCATGTGTCAAGCATGACTGTGGCTTCACTCATTGGCTAAATGCACAGAAAAGTGGTAGGAGGCTATCTGTGGAGGCGAGGGCTATCAACACCTACTTGCCACAAGGGCTATTCCCTGCCTCCACTGTCAGAGGCAGTAATGCTTCTGAATACCATTTGCTGGGGGCAAAGGGAGGAAAGGGAGAGTGTCGTTGTGTTTGGATCCTGCTTGTGGGTTTCCTCTAGGCATTCGGTTGGCCACAGTTAGAACAGGATGCTGGACTAGGTGGAGTCACTCCATCTCCTGGGTCCCGCGCCGAGGGCCTTCTGGCAGTTCCCTCACTGCAAGAAGTGAGGTTACAGAGAACCAGGCAGAGGGCCTTTTCGGTTGTGGCACCCGCCCTGTGGAACGCCCTCCCATCAGATGTCAAGGAAATAAACAACTATATGACTTTTAGAAGACAGCAGCCCTGTTTAGGGATGTTTTTAATGCTTGATGTTTTATCATGTTATAAATTCTGGGAGTCATCCAGAGTGGCTGGGGAAACCCAGCCAGGTGGGCAGAGTATAAATAATAACTGTGGTTGTTGTTGTTGTTGCCTTTGCTTTTTATAGGTAAAGGGTAAAGGGACTCCTGACCATTAGGTTCAGTCATGACCGACTCTGGGGTTGCGGCGCTCATCTCATTTTATTGGCCGAGGGAGCTGGCGTACAGCTTCCGGGTCATGTGGCCAGCATGCCTAAGCTGCTTCTGGCGAACCAGAGCAGCGCACGGAAACGCCGTTTACCTTCCCGCTGGAGCGGTACCTATTTATCTACTTGCACTTTGACGTGCTTTCGAACTGCTAGGTTGGCAGGAGCAGGGACCGAGCAACGGGAGCTCACCCCGTCGCAGGGATTCGAACAACCGACCTTCTGATTGGCAAGTCCTAGGCTCTGTGGTTTAGCCCACAGCGCCACCTGCGTCCCTTGCTTTTTATACATTTATATAAAATATGAAAATTTAAACAAAATAAAAAATAACCTAATATTTGTTTTGATGCAATTTTGCCTAAAGCCCACACTTTTGCAAATCAATTTCCTCTGCAAAGAATCCATCTTTGCATGTTATTTTCACTACATATTCATACAGAAGCATTACCTTGTTAGGTGCATTTTTGTACACACCACTTGGCCGGAGAGCTGCATTGCAAAATTTGGATAAATGCCAATTTCGAGGGGTGTTGTTGTTGTGCTTTTCATAAAGTGTGAATTCGGTACTTTTGCCTTTAAATGTGAACTGAATAAAAATTCCACCTCCATCAGTGGTTATAGCTCTTCCCTTTTTTGAGAGCCAGTGTGGTGTAGTGGTTAGGAGCGGTAGTCTCGTAATCTGGGGAACCGGGTTCGCGTCTCCGCTCCTCCACATGCAGCTGCTGGGTGACCTTGGGCCAGTCACACTTCTCTGAAGTCTCTCAGCCCCACTCACCTCACAGAGTGTTTGTTGTGGGGGAGGAAGGGAAAGGAGAATGTCAGCCGCTTTGAGACTCCTGAAGGGGAGTGAAAGGCGAGATATCAAATCCAAACTCCTCCTCCTCCTCCTCTCCTCCTCCTCCTCCTTCTTCTTCTTCTTCTTGTCATTAGTTCAATTCTGGTACCAGGAATGAGCCAAGGTGGTCACGGGCAATAGATCGCCAGGGGAAAGGGAGGAAGAGTTCAGCCCAGATCACCCTCATTCCCCGCCCCTTATAAATCTGAGAGGTCTTTGGTACACAGACCCTATCACACACAGATAGCCAATGTAAAACTTTCCAGCCTAAAAATGTCTCTTCTTAAGGAACAAGACCACGATTCCCATCTTGGCACACTTAAAGCTGCTTTTGAGCCTTGCACAAGAGCACATCTATGTCACTGCAAATGACTCACATAGAAACATATTGTACTATGTCCTCCTAATGCTGGCAAGGACCCACCAAGGAGCGGGGGGGGGGGGGGAACCAGGCCTGACTGTTCCAAGCAAGTGGTTTTCTTGCAAATATTTGTCCGTCTACCAGGTACCATGACAGCATGGGCAAACGGTTTGAAATAAAAGCTCAGGTCAATGTTGGGATTTAAGGTCTTTGTCACACTGAAAACTGCTAGCTCAGTAAACACAAGTCAGCGAGTTTGTGCAGGGATTGTCAGGTGTGACGCTGCAGAAATTCCGGTTTCCTAACACAACATTTTTATTTTTATTTTTTAAAAGATACCACTTATAAATCATCCTGCCCATGTGATTTTGTAAGAATGACAATGATTAAAATATGTCGTGATTACTACAAGTGAATAGTAAGAGAACCCATGCAAGTAACACTGACACAGAACCCCACACATACACTAAGTAGAAGAATAGACACATAACCACCCCCCACACCACTCCCCACTCCCTCTCTTCCCCCTTCCTAATTCTTTAAACCAATTCATGAACCAAGAATTTGTACACTGACCACTAACAATGAAACATATGTTGTAGATATTTTCCACATTTATTATGCTATTTTTGTGATATACAAATGAGATGGGGAGGGAATTGTGATTAAGGGTGGAATTTTCTGGAAATCCTGATGTTGAGCTTATCCACATAGGTCTGTTCCCCCATTTCCTTCTTGCTCCTTAATCTCAATGGGCAGAGCATCCCTCCCCAGTTCCACTAAAAATGCAAACAATTCCCAACTATTACAGTGGTACCTCGGGTTACATACGCTTCAGGTTACATACGCTTCAGGTTACATACGCTTCAGGTTACAGACTCCGCTAACCCAGAAATAGTACCTCAGGTTAAGTACTTTGCTTCAGGATGAGAACAGAAATTGCGCGGCGGCGGCGCGGCGGCGGCGCAGCGGCAGCAGGAGGCCCCATAAGCTAAAGTGGTGCTTCAGGTTAAGAACAGTTTCAGGTTAAGAACAGACCTCCAGAATGAATTAAGTTCTTAACCCGAGGTACCACTGTATATCCATTTCTCTCTGTATATACCAGATGCTAGAACATAGTGTTATCCAGCACAGCTGCATGTTGGCAGATTCGGGGCAGGCAATAAAGCACTTGTTCACACGGCATGTAAGGAACATGCTTCTACAAGATGCTCATCTGCATTTTTTGCCTGACCCATATTTTGATCGTGTTGTGTACTGATCAACTCCTCCAAGTCTGCAAGCCTTTCTCCTCGTTCTGTGGCTATGCCTTGGGAAAATCCAATCTAACCCACTGAATTGGATCATAATCGGATATGTGGAACATCCAAAGAGAGATTTTGCTTAACAAAGTTTTAATTTGTCGGGTAAGGAAAGATACCCAGCCAGATGGGCAGGGTATTTTTTTAATATTATTATTATTATTTATTATATTGTAAGGCAAAGCCTCAGAACAATGAAGAAAAGCTCTTGGACCCGGTGAAATTAACTGGTAAATATATGGGTCAAGCAAAAGCGGATGAGCTGAAGATGGCTTTAAAAATATAATACTAATACTAATACTAATACTAATTTATACCCACACCCAATAACCCCCCCACACACATTTTTAAAGGGCATTGGATGTCAATCAGCCAAAGGCCTGGTCAAAAAAGAGGAACGCTTTTGCCTGGTGCCTAAAGGTGTATAATGAAGGCACCAGGTGAACCTCCCTGGGGACAGCATTCCAAAAACAGAGAGCCATTGCAGAACAGGCCTCTTCTCACATTGCCACCCTCTGGACCTCTCAAGGAAGAGGCACATGGAGAAGGGACTCAAAATATGATCTCAGGGTCCGGATAGGTCCATATGCAAAGAGGCGGCCCTTGAAAATTCATGGAAGATCCTGCTATCAACAGCCACTAGCCACAATGGCCATTTTCTTCCTCTACTCTCAGAGGCCTCTGGTCTGATCCAGCAGAGCTCTTATGTTCTTATTGTGCTCTGGATCTGATTTGGAGGTAAAGGAAGTGGGGATTGTTAAAGATGCCCCCTTGCCATATGATGTGGTAGCTTGCGGTGTGCTGTTATATAAGCATGATGTGAGACAGATGGGTGTTTTCTTTTATGATTATTATTTAAAGAAGACATACTGAATTTTCCATTTCGCCACAGCCTCCTTCCCCGCTAGAAATCAACTGCTGAATCTTGTCAAATGTTGCCATTTAGTACATGAGTCACTTTGAGAGCTCTATTAGTTGCTGTGGAATGCCTCTCGACTTCTAAAGAAGCAGATGTTTCAAGTTAGCAGCAAGAGAGCTAAACAAGTGCATGCAAAGGCACAGCACAAATAACGTGTTTCATTACAGTTATTTATAGCTGTCCGCAACTATCATAGTTTTTTAGCCGAAAATTATTAAAAGCAATTACAATTACTTGATTATACAGCTAAGGATGATTCATGCGGCGTAGCGTAAGCCATGTAACAAGTAGCAGCTTCCACATCCTCCTTCTTCGGAGGCTTTCTGGATTAATCTGCTGTTTTTTTCTCAATGGCTGTGGAAGTGATTTGACAAGGCAAGCCGCTTTGCAAGACTCTGGCCATTTTGAACAGGACTTCAGCATCCCGTTTGGCAACTGCTGGCCATCTTCAGTGGGACTTTGGCACGCTGCCATACAGCCTCTGGCTGTTTTCAATGGGACTTCAGCAGGCAACAGGCCACTTCGGTGGCAGGGCCGGATTTAGGTTTGATGAGGCCCTAATCTACTGAAGGTAATGGGGCCCTTTATATATCCAGCTGTCCTTTGTCAACAACAAATTGTTGCTGTGTTTTGTGTGTTGAATATATACTGTTGTTGTTTAGTCGTTTAGTCGTGTCCGACTCTTCGTGACCCCATGGACCAGAGCACGCCAGGCACTCCTGTCTTCCACTGCCTCCCGCAGCCCGGTCAAACTCATGCTGGTAGCTTCGAGAACACTGTCCAACCATCTCGTCCTCCTTGTGCCCTCAATCTTTCCCAACATCAGGGTCTTTCCCAGGGAGTCTTCTCTTCTCATGAGGTGGCCAAAGTATTGGAGCCTCAGCTTCACGATCTGTCTTTCTAGTGAGCACTTAGGGCTGATTTCCTTAAGAATGGATAGGTTTGATCTTCTTGCACTCCATGGGACTCTCAAGAGTCTCCTCCAGCACCACAGTTCAAAAGCATCAATATGCTATATGGTCATTTATGGACCTAATGGTATCTAAAGCCAGTTGCACATGTTGCCATTCAACCAGTCCATACAGAATGTAGGCACCCTATATATAGGAATGAGCAAACCAGTGATATTTTAGGGAGCAGGCTAGCAGGCGGTACCCATTACTTACATCATAGGAGCCTGTACAACACAAAACACTGTTGCTGTATGTAGGTTTTATTTTATTTGTTTTTTATCTTATATTTTGGAAATGTACATCCAGTGTTTTTTTCTTTAAATTTTTTGGGGACCCCTAAGAGAGTGGGACCCTAAGCTATGCTTGTTTAGCTTATACGTAAATCCAGATGTTGTAAATGAAGTCTCCTGACAGCAAATCTATTAAAATAAAAATAACAACAATAACAATAATAATTTATTTATATTCTTTTTTGCCAATCACTCGTAGCTGAGTAAGATGGTCTTTCATGAACACGGTTTTAACAGTGTGTCTGTAAGTGACTGTGAAGGCCAATTCTGGATCCATACGTCCTTCCACAGTGGGGACATAGGTTTTCTGGCAGGAGTTGATCACCATGAGGGTTTGCCAAATGTGCCTTCCTCTTAGCACATTTCTCCCTTTCGTCCTGAGTTTGAACATCTTCAAAGTCCATGACACCTTTGGTAAAGGCTGTTCTCCAACTGGAGCGCTCGCAGGCCAGTGTTTCCCAGTTGTCAGTGTTTCTACTACATTTTAAAGATTTGCCTTGAGAGAGTCTTTAAACCTCTTTTGTTGACCACCAGCATTTTGTTGACCACCAGCTTTCCATTTTAAAGTTTGGAATAGAGTAGTCGCTTAGGAAGACGATAATCAGGCATCCAAACAACATGACCAGTCCAATGAAGCTGATGTTGAAGGATCGTTGCTTCGACACTGGTGATCTCTGCTTCTTCCAGTACACTGGCATTGGTTCACCTGTCTTCCCAAGTGATGTGTAAAATTTTTCGGAGACACCATTTATATGCCACCCATCTGACTGGGTTGTCCCAGCCACTCTGGGCAGCTTCCAACAATTTATAAAACCACAGTAAAACACCAAACATGAAAAGCTTCTCTATACAGGGATGTCTTCTAAAAGTCACATAGTTGTTTATCTCGACATCTGATGGGAGGGTGTTCCGCAGGATGGGCACAACTATCTTACTAAGAAGGTAGTTGCCTGGTTGCTGGGAACCGCCAGAAGGCCCTCAGAGCTGGACCACAGTGTCCAAGCTGAACGATGGGGTTGGAGACGCTACTTCAGTTATATCTGGTCGGAGCCATTTAGGGCTTCAAAGGTTAGCACCGACACTTTGAATTGTGCTCAGAAATGTGCTGATGCAAGTTATCCAAGTTCCAATGGGAGCCACTGCGGGTGATGGAAACTCTGGATCGAATGCCAAAGAATCAGAAATAACATCTGAAATACCATTTGAATCTGGATGTCATTTCTCTGGGTATTGGATCTTTAGCAGAAATCTTCAGAGGGTGGGAAATATTTGCTTATTTCCCTACCATATAGAAGACTCATCTTGAGAAAGTGGGCTCATTCCAGGGTCTTTTATATCTCTCCAAATATTTTCCCTACACTAGAAAGGTTGGATAGACCTGGAATCATAGCTAAAAATTTATGACCTGTTCCAAAACTTAATACTGCTTGGGTTCACGTTTATATCTGAAATAAGTGTTCCACTTACATTGTGGCCCTTTCTTTTTCTTTTTCTTTCTTTCTTTCTTTTTTAAAAGAACTAATATATGCATAAGTGCTCTGATTTAATAAAAAATCCCTGGGGTTGCATTTTTAGGTTCTTAAGTGTTTTATAATTAGGAATATTTACTAATTGTTCCAATGCTGGGGATACAATCTGGAAGAAATATCTATTTTGACATTGTGGTGTTATATGGGAAACACCCATTCACTTCTATGGGCTTTGGCTCAAATTCTAGTTATTTCCTGAGGTCGCTCTACTCTTTCCAGTTACTCTGGTTATGCGGCTAATTCTCACTTCTATTTATTCTGGGAGATTCCTTTTTTCCGGTTTGGACTAGAGCGAATAACCCTAAATTCCACTGTGGGTGCCAAACACTGTTTTCCATTACTGGAAAAATAAAGGTCTGGCTTTTATTTGGGACTTGATAGGTCTCTCAGTTTCCACTCCTCCTTGAAGGACTGAGCACAGCCTTAGCTGCATAACTTGCTCTTTCTTCTTCTTCTTCTTCTTCTTCTTCTTCTTCTTCTTCTTCTTGGGGGGGAGTGAATGAGGGGGCTGGTGGAAGCTTTCAGCTCTCACAGGTGGGATCTCAGAGCTGAATCCTACTTTATGTTACAAACATGTTTGCCTTGTATCCATTGGTCATTTGTCTCATGACCTAAAGCTGCTCTTGAACAGCCCCAAGACTGGCACCACCATCCTGCTCTGGTCAGTGAAATGACCTGCAGCAGCCCGTCCAAGTATCCTTATTTTCCAGGGACAGTCCCGGATTTAGAGAAGCCATCCCGGTTTCTGATTTGATCCCAGAATGTCCCACTTTTCCTTAGGCCATCCCTATTTTCATCAGAGAAATGTTGGAGGGTACGGAGTTATGTGACTCTCAAGCCAAGGAGATAAGTAACTAGACAACTTTTAGAAGACACCTGCAGGCAGTCCTGAATAGGGAAGTTTTAAAATGTTTAATGTTTTATTATGTTTTTATATATTTTGGAAGCTGCCCAGAGTGGTTGGGGAAACCCAGTCAGACGGGTGGGGTATAATAATAACATTCTTATTATTATGGAATTTGTTGTTGTTTAGTCGTTTAGTCATGTCCGACTCTTCATGACCCCATGGACCAGAGCACACCAGGCACTCCTGTCTTCCACTGCCTCCCGCAGTTTGGTCAAACTCATGCTGGTAGCTTCAAGAACACTATCTAACCATCTCGTCCTCTGTCGTCCCCTTCTCCTTGTGCCCTCAATCTTTCCCAGCATCAGGGCCTTTTCCGGGGAGTCTTCTCTTCTCATGAGGTGGCCAAAGTATTGGAGCCTCAGCCTCAGGATCTGTCCTTCCAGGGAGCACTCAGGGCTGATTACCTTCAGAATGGAGAGGTTTGATCTTCTTGCAGTCCATGGGACTCTCAAGAGTCGCCTCCAGCACCATAATTCAAAAATAGGATGTCCCTATTTTTATCAAAGAAATGTTGGAGGGTATGCTGCAGGCCAAGGAAGCTTCCTTGAAGCAACAGAACCTCTCTAAAATTGTCTTGTTCAGAAAAGCCTGCAGGGTCAGGCCAGTAGCTCATCTGGTCCAGCATCCTGTTCTCACAGTGGCTAACCAGATGCCTGTGGGAAACCCACAAACAGGACTTGAGCACAAGAGCAATCTCTGTACGCCCCCATGACTTCCAGGAACTGATCAGGACTAGTCTATGCAACTAGGCGACATTCAGTGGACAGTGTGAATCATTTAAATTCTTTTAAAATATGACCTGCAGTGAAAAATTAAGTTGTCTGTTTGTCAGTAGGGCTGTCTCTGTGTTATGTACTGAGCTTGGATCCAAGAACAATAGACAGGTAGGATTCTAGAATGCAACAACCTGATTGGCCTGCAGGAGCTGCCCAATCAGGCCCCAGAAGGAAGTTAATCATCCTATTAGGCCAGTAGGATCCTAGAATGCAACAACTGATTGGCCTGCAGGAGCAGCCCAATCAGACTCCAGGTGGGAAGCAGAATCAGCCAATCAGACAGGACCCCATTGTGTAGATAATGTACCGGTATATAAAGCCTGAGGTTTTGGGGGAAATTCAATTCACTGTTTTATGAGCTGCAATAAAGAGCATGAAATCACTGCTTGACTCCGAGTATATTTCACTCTGCTATCTCTTTACAGAGAGAACAGTGACTGCCAGTTAGCTACTACTGGGCTAAATTCAAGGGGCCAGTATTGATGTAAAAGCTCTATACAGTTTGGGACCAGGATTCTTAAAAGGTCATCTCACCCCTTATATACCCAGCTAATCACTGTGCTCCTGCAGATAGCATCTCATCAGGAGGTCCATTCTGTACAATTCAGGAATCAGACTTTTAGTGTGGTGGCACCTACCCTATGAACTCCCTCACCTTGCATATGAGGCATGTCTATTATCTTTTCATCACATACCAAAGACCTTCATTTTACAAGCCTTTCAAGCGGAGGCTCTTATTCCAGTTTGCACTGGATTTGAAATTGTCTTAATGCATCATTTTCATTGATGATGATGATGAATCACTTCAAGATTTCACAAATTAAATGGATAATAAAATATTATTAGCATTACTAAACCATTAGTAATGGAAACCCAGTTAGATGGGTGGGGTATAAATGATAAATTATTATTATTATTATTATTATTATTATTATTATTATTTATTGGAAAACATCCTTTTTGCTATGAAGATCTCAAGGTGCAACAAATCAATACGGAGAATCGTCTTTCTGCACTTCTTTAGCCATGACATTCTGCACCAACCTGGAATTTTCCTTATGGGTCAAGCTTTGCTTTTTGCATACCTGCTGATGAATCTTCAGATTTTCAGTTTCCATTGGTTAGCAAAAGGAAATTCCTAGCTATTATGAATCCAGAGATCCATTTCAAAGCATATGAATAGTAGGACCTGCAAGTGGATCTGAGTTCCGGTGCTCATAGAGTGGTGCTCGTGTGATCTAACCATAGACATAATTCTCTCAAGTACGACTGTTTTCAAAGGACTAAAAAAATATTCCAGATGCTTGCAGCTGGGGGGAAACCCTGCGTCTGCATCATTTCGCCTTAAAGAGCACTCGTAGCAATTGCTAAATTGCTAAATCATTACATCTTGCTTCTTTTGTACATTTGAATGTCTTTCAGCTTTGTTTTTATAACAGAAAGCTAAGTTGGTACTTATCTCTTCCTCTGGAGTCCTTCTTTCAAAAGTCTAGACATTTGTCAGTATTTCCACGAAGGAAAGACACTATCATCCCTTTTACCCCAATGAATTCTAGGCAGGGCCTTTGCTGTGAAATACTCATTTCATTAGTTGGCTTTCATTATTTAAAAAACAACTTTTTTTCATGGGGATTGTACAGAATGCCATGGAGATTTTTCTCCTACTTGGAAATTAGATCATTTGGTTATGTAGAGCTCAGCTGTGGGTCTAGTTTTGAGTCAGTGAAAAAAAAAACCACCACCCTTATTTTTGTCAAGTTTGTGAGCATTTAACCAGCATTTCCACCTCCTCTTGCGCTGCGTATTATGGAGCAGGAGTCACCAACACGGTGCCCGTGGGCGCATGCCCATGCACCTGCAGAAGCCTTCCCTGGTACCCACAGCGTTCTCTCTCCTCCCTCTGCAAGTTAGACTCAAAAGAAGCATTCTATGGTAGCTAATGGAATTGGTTGCAGGGTCTGTGTGTGGTGTGTAATTCAGCCCCTCTGGTGTTGCATATGTGTCACGGTCTGGTTCATGGGCGATCAAAGTCCCAGCTGGGGTCGTCTGGACCCAGGGGTAGGGTGGGAGCAGGAATGGGAGTCCAGAAGCCAGGAGTCAGGAAGCCAAGAGTCCAAGGGTCGGAGAGCCAGGAGTCACAAAGTCAGGGGTCGGAGGATCAAGAAGCAAGGAGTCAAGGAGCCAAATGCAGCAAGGCAGGGAGCGTGTTGCTGTGGCAAAGAGCCGAAGGGAAATGCTGACCTTATATTCCTTCCCAGCTCTTGCCACCTGGTGCTGTGAGTTACCAATCGGCCTCACCTGTGCGGCTGCACCTTGCCTCTTCAGAACAAACTTAGGAAGGCCCTAGTCCTGCAAAGTCCTACTGGTCACAGGGCCTGGCTCCTGCATGCATATGTGCCTATGGGTCCTGACCATATGTGCCTATGGGTCGCCAGAAGTTGGCAATTCCTGTTATGAAGGCAGACTGGCATGTGGCAGTGGCTCAGTGGGGACTGCTTCAGGAGAGTATGAGGCTTTTCCTGACAACTGCAAGCTGACCAAATTGCCTCTGCATCTCAGTTCAAAGAATCATAGAACTGTAGACTTAGAGGAGACTCTCAACGATCATCTAGTCCAAACCTCTCCAATGCAGGAATCTCAGTTAGATAAGACATGGCAAATTGCCATCCATCTTCTGCTTAAAAACCTCCAAGGAAGGAGAGTCTGCCACCATCTGAGGGAGTCTATTCCACTGCCAGACAGCTCTTAGCGTTAGAAAGTAGTTTGTAATGTTTAGTCGGAATCTCCTTTCTTATAACTCGAACCAATGGTTCGAGTCCTATCCTCTGTAGATGCAGAAAACAAGCTTGCACCACCTTCCATGTGGCAGTCCTTCAGATATTTGAAGATGACTATCATAAGACCTCTCTGTCTTGTCTTCTCCAGGCTAAACATACCCAACACCCGTCAACCATTATTGTTATATAGTTATTTGTAGTATGTTTCCGAGCGCAATTCAAAGTGTTGGTGCTGACCTTTAAAGCCCTAAACGGCCTTGGTCCAGTATACCTGAAGGAGGGTCTCCACCCCCATCATTCTGCCTGGACACTGAGGTCCAGCGCCGAGGGCCTTCTGGGGGTTCTCTGACTGCGAGAAGCCAAGTTACAGGGAAGAGGGCCTTCTCGGTAGTGGCACCCACCCTGTGGAACGCCCTTCCACCAGATGTCAAAGAGAAGAACAACTACCAGACTTTTAGAAGACATCTGAAGGCAGCCCTCTTTAGGGAAGCTTTTAATGTTCAGCAGACCACTGTATTTTAATACTTTGTTGGAAGCCGCCCAGAGTGGCTGGGGAAACCTAGCCAGATGGGCGGGGTAATAATAATAATAATAATAATAATAATAATTTGCAGCATTTTCTGTGTCATGTACTTAGTACCCAAAGGTTCATTTACACAAGATTCCAAGGGCTTTATCCAAAGGCTGAAATCAACTTGTGAAAACAACAACAAGAAGAAGAGTTTGGATTTGATATCCTGCTTTATCACTACCTGAAGGAAGAAGAAGAAGAAGAGTTTGGATTTGATATCCCGCCTTTCACTCCCCTTCAGGAGTCTCAAAGCGGCTAACATTCTCCTTTCACTTCCTCCCCCACAACAAACACTCTGTGAGGTGAGTGGGGCTGAGAGCCTTCAAAGAAGTGTGACTAGCCCAAGGTCACCCAGCAGCTGCATGTGGAGGAGCGGAGATGCGAACCCGGTTCCCCAGATTACGAGTCTACTGCTCTTTGTTAGGATATTTCCGTTCCACCTTAAAAGGGAGCAGGCTTTGTGAGTCACAGAGTCTGTGTATTTCCTGTTCACAGGAAGTTTCTGTTTTGTCTATAGCTGTTGTTTTCTCTCTCTGTGCCTGAGACATCGAAGCAGGCAGTCATGTTTTTTCTTTGTTCTGATCAACGCTGAATAAAGTTGTAAATAATGCTCTCCTGAGTGCGCCTTTCGTTGTGCGAACTCTGCTGATAGAGCGTGCACGAGCTCTGGAATGTGGCAAGCTATTTCTGAGGCTTCGTGTCGCTAATTGACTGATACTGTATCTACAGGAGATCGATGGATCGTCCGGAGACGACGTGGAACCATGATGGCCTCTGTCTCCCTGGCAGTATCCCAACACTCTTAACCACTACACCACACTGGCTCTCAGTGTGATGAGGGATTTCAACATGTTTAATCCAAAGCTCCCTGCTGGTTACTGTGTGATTCTCATGTCACTGTGTTCCTTCATAGGATCACATGGTATAACCACCAGAGAAAAAACTACTATTGGAGCCTTACCCATTCTGAATGTTTGGAAATACACAGCTCCCATCAACCCCAGCCAGATTGACTCTTGACAAGGGATCATGAGTCCCCAAATCTCAGAGGGCACAAGGTTGGTAAAGAGTGTTATTGTCCTTACATTCAACTATCACAGTTAGAAAGAGATTTGGACCAAAAACAACTCACCTTCAAAGGAGCTGGTGTCTCTCTCTGTCCTCTGATCCACCCCTTCATTGTTCAAATAAGTGACATGTTATAAGAAGTTCACAGGTTATTATCCCCGGTTCTGTAAATGGAGTAGACAAGCCATAATCTGTAGCATCTGCTGGAAGAAATCAACATTCCACAGCACACTAAATATGTCTGCTTTTGAAGGATGGGTGTCTGAGCCAATTCTACTCGCTCCAAAACTATTTCAAAAATGAAGCGTAAGCTCATATTAAAGCATTTGCATTATAAGTTGCTGTCTACAGGTAAGATTCAATCTCCACCTGGTTAGAGCTGAAGGCAGCCAGTTCCTGGGAATCAGAAGGAGGAAGAGTGTTGTTGCACTCAAGTTCTTTTTGCAGGCTTCTCATGGGCAACTGATTGGCCACTGTTAGAACAGGAGGCGGGACTAGCTGAGCCTTTGGTCTGATCCAGCAGAGCTCTGCTTACGTTCATATAGTTGTGGACAAATGGCAAATATTGACTAAGCAGGTTCAAATGATGTAAAAGACTGAACTTTAACATTTTATTTTAAACTCAACAACTGTGTTTCCAACTGTTAGGGGTTTATCCCATTTGTTGGTGGGCTCCATGCCTTTGTTATTATTGCTTGTTTTGGCATATTAACTGTACACAGAACTCCACAAAGTTCCTTGGCAAGTTGTTGAGCCTCTTCCATTAGCGCAGTCCTGAAAGCATTATTTGCCCATTACTGTCTCTAATACATTGGACTTTGTATGATTTGGGAAACAGGAACAGAAATATTCTGTGCATTACCTGCATTCACAACATATAAACAAGGTGAGGCGCGTTTCTGACCCAAAAGAAACCTGTAGGAAATCTAGGCTCTGTAGTGAACTATTTGCAAGTGGTAGTTCTTTGTGAAATCTACACATCTGCTGACAAATCCTGGGATAGTTAACCTTTGCAAATTGAGTAGTTTGGTTTCCCCATGTCACTGGGTGCCATTTTGAATCCAGATTTTCTCCCAGATCAACTGAACCTGGGGCCACACTAGCCTATATATTTTTTTAATAGGCAGGTATCAAATCCATGGCAATAACATGCTCCATGGCGCCCAGCTCTGTAGAGTCAAATGCAGGGTTGCGTTGGCCCAAGACATTTTGGTGCCACTCATTCCACATACCAAAGCCAGCTGGGTGGACCGGTGAATCTTACTTCAACACTGGAAATGGGACAGCATCTTCCACTATATCTGAGGACAGCAGGTTAGTTTAAGGGGCACACACAACATTGTCTACTCTCCACCCCTCAGAATCTGTTGTCTCAGGTGGCTGCTTCAGTATGCCAAATGGCACGGTTGGACCGATACGCTCCGGAATACGCTCTGGCTTCTTGTGTATCTAAGGGCTTAGCCAGCTCATGCTATTCTTCTGCCCTAATTTTGTTTTCCCATCCCAACATTGAAGTGCACCCATCCAATGACCCATCTTGTCAACTATCTACAGCTGAAGGGAGAAGGACTTGTGTTTTCTCCTTGAAAGCCAGAACCAGTGGCAGGCAGAGCCAACTAATGCTGGTTTTGTCCCCATCTTCCTGCTGAATTCTACAAGGGCAAAACTGAGGTGAGCAAGACAGTCTCTCATTCAGCCTAGGGGGCCAGCCTCCACTCATGTGCAGAAGGGTCTCTAGGATTATTATTTTGGTGAAAAGGTGAGCTCATGTGGAGACTGGCAAGCTTTTAGACATGTGAGGCAACAGAACCCTGAGTAAAGGAAGAGTTGTGTGCCCTACACCTTGATGCTTTCCCCCAATGCAGCTCTACACCCTTGCTCCATACAAGTGAATGGACACTTTTTGCTCTATTCTCTAGAGTGAAATAAAAGATGGAGCAGGGCTAGCTGACTCCCAAGGGCTTGGATTTGAAAAGAAGGGAATTGTGTTCTCCTACAGGATTTTCCCAGTTATCCTAGATCTCAGGCAAGCTACCTTTACTACCTGTTTGATTGGGTTGTCCAATCAACTGAGCATGAGAACTTGCTCCAAAGGCTGATTCCTCCTTAGATGTAAAGTACTCTGGGTGCCAATATTGGTGACTGCTAACAGCAGAGAACTATTTGATTGGGCCTCCTTGTTTATTCATTTGACCACGTTTCTTGACCACGAACTATGTTACCTTGTTTATTTCGCATCCTCTTAAGATTCAGAGTTTTTCATCTACTTCACTCCCAGACTTTATGTGATGAAATAAGAGTGATGCTTTATGAGGGTCTCACAAGTCCCCAGTCAACTTGCAATGGCTCTCCTCTAGACTTGATCAAATGTCACTTTAAAGTTAGAAAAATAATAATGTTTTTAGTACAATTATGAACTATAAAAGCTGAGTTGCATGTAGGTGAAGGAAGAAATGTTTAGAATCCCACTGTGATTTATGTACATGTGGCACACAGATGTTACATAACACATTCTCTTTTCTCTCTCTCTCTCCATCACTTTTATATATTCAGATTTTATATCTCTCTCCTTCACTTTTATATATTTGGACCACATCTTCTCTCCCTTTAGCCCTTGCCTGTCCAAATGCAGTGCTTAATGCTTTATTAAAAGTCTCTGCAGGGTAAAATGGAACATTAATAATTGTTGATGACAGAAATTTGGTTTCTGTAACCCTCAGAGTGAAAGGTAAATATGATGGGAATATTTTAACCTATGTATATTCTACATCAGACAGGAAAGCTCCTATAAGACTGTCTGTGTTAAGGTTACAAGTGATTTATGGAGATGTCATCCCTGACCCCAGTTCTGGAAAGCCTCTTACAATTCCTCTTATTGTAATCATCACTTCAGCTTCATATATGCCTGGAGGAAGACTGCTACCAAAAGTATGGCGGAGACAGTGAAAAATATTTCAAGGGTGGCTAGTGACTGGGATGCACATATAAGGCTAAGGCTGGTTTGCCAGCCGCAGATTCTCCAGGACAGAGGCTGGACAACAGCCATGCTGACTGGGATTGATGGGAGCTGTGGTTCAAAACATCTCAAGGGCACCAGGTTGGAGAATGGCTTGAGACCTGGTTACCTTAAGGGCAAAACAACCACATGCTAATTGTAGCAAGAACATCCATGATACAACAACTGATCAACAGGAAAGGAAGAAAGAATTTTGATATAATTTATCGGAATCAAAATACACCAGCTTGAATTGGTGATTTTGGATTTTGGTTCAAATGCAAATCCACCTTAAATGATCCAGCATTAAGTCATGCTCAGAGTGGACGCAATGAATCAATAGACACAAAAAACTTAAGTCCATTTATTTCAACAGATCTACTCTGAATATGACTCCCACTGTTGATCACTGAATAGTAATAGTAATAATAGTATTTTTTTATGTCAGTAAAATACAATAAGGTACAAACAACCAAAACAGCAGAAATAAAACCACAAGAATAGAACCAGCAGATAAAATAGCACCTAAAAATAATTAAAAGGATCTTTTAAAAACTATTATTATCATTGTTATTATTTTAAACTAATGCCAAAATAGGATTCTAAGTACTTAACAAAGTATAAAAATCAGTTACATAGACTTTAAAATAGATGCACACACAATTAAAAGATACAATAATATAATCACGTTACAAGATTAAAATATATAAGGTAAAGATAAAGGGACCCCTGACCATTAGGTCCAGTCGTGGCCGACTCTGGGGTTGCGGCATTCATCTCGCTTTATTGGCTGAGGGAGCCGGCGTACAGCTTCTGGGTCATGTGGCCAGCATGACTAAGCTGCTTCTGGCAAACCAGAGCAGCGCATGGAAACGCCGTTTACCTTCCTGCCAGAGCGGTACCTATTTATCTACTTGCACTTTGACGTGCTTTCGAACTGCTAAGTTGGCAGGAGCAGGGACTGAGCAACGGGAGCTCACCCCGTCGGAGGGATTCGAACCACCAACCTTCTGATCAGCAAATTCTAGGCTCTGTGGTTTAACCCACAGCACCACCCGCATCCCATTAAAATATATACACCCTTAATTAAAATCTGCAAGAAAGCAATCCCGTTAAAACAACAGAGCAATTGAAAAAGAAGGCTTAATTGCCATTGAGTGCATAAGAGAACAGGTTGGACTTTTGTCGGGCACTGAAAAGTTAACAGATATTGCCAGACCAATGTGTCACTCAGAGACAGAGAGAGCCACAGCTTGGAGTGTGCCACATTAAAAAAAACTCCTCTCTCCAGTAGCCAGGTCCTGACCGCAGAAGGGCTACTCAGGAAGATCTGAAATGGCAGGCAGAGTCATTGGGAGAGAATTAATGATTCAAGGGGATTACAAGGCAGTGCTGTTCCAGGCCCCATGGCATTGTTGTAGCTTCTGTCTTTTCCACTGAGCCTTGAACAGTGGACAAGGTCAAAAATCAGTAGTGTCTCTCATGTGCTGCATGAGACAGAACCTAGGCTAGATCTAGACACATCAAAGAAGCGTTTCAGGTTAAAGCATTGTGAATTTAAACAGGGAAAAAAGATAGAGAAAAACAGGACTCCACATCGTCATATGGTGGCACAATGTTATACTGCATATGCAACACATATAAATTGCTTTTTTCTTTACCAGTCTAGCTGAGTCCCTAGGTTCAATCCCTGGCACTTCAGATAGGGCTGGGGGAGGGGTGGATCTGCACCTGAAATCATGGAGAAGTGCTCCCAATCAGTGTCAACAAAACTGATTAGAGGAGCCAATGGTGTGATTCGATATAAGTCAACTTTCCATCGGTCAAACTTTGGTAAAAAAGGTAAAGGGACCCCTGACTATTAGGTCCAGTCATGACCGACTCTAGGGTTACAGCGCTCATCTCACTTTATTGGCCAAGGGAGCCGGCGTACAGCTTCCGGGTCATGTGGCCAGCATGACTGAGCCGCTTCTGGCGAACCAGAGCAGCGCATGGAAACGCTGTTTACCTTCCCGCCAGAGCAGTACCTATTTATCTACTTGCACTTTGATGTGCTTTCGAACTGCTAGGTTGGCAGGAGCAGGGACCGAGCAATGGGAGCTCACCCCGTCGCGGGGATTCGAACCACCGACCTTCTGATCGGCAAGTCCTAGGCTCTGTGGTTTAACCCACAGCACCACCTGCATCCCTTTCAAACTTTGGTACCAACATCCAAATTTGATGAGATTCTGGACTATTTGCCTAGACACTATTGTGACAATTTGGAACGGGAGAAACGAGCAGATAAAAATATTCAAATAATCCATGCTTGTTCATTGTATAACTAGAGCACTGCAGCCTTGTGGAGTTGACATGTGGACCATTAACATAAGAAAAATGGAGGGGAAAGCAATTACTCATGAAACTGTTGTAGTTCTATTTAGTAAACCCTACTGAGCTATCGTGGAGGATCATAAAAAAGGCCTAAAGCCTC